AGCACAATGAATACACTAAAACGATCAGCGAAATACTTCAGCTGCAGAACGACCATAAAATTTTATCCACAATAGCGATTCACATTTTGCTCCGATGTCTTCATATATCGAGCACCGTTTTCCCAGACCTTGGTCATTGTTGGCCTTAAATGCTCGCTTTCTCAAACGAATCACCCATGCAGATCAATTTCATTAGGTATGGGCATTCTCCGCTTTTGACAAGAAACCTTGAAAACCTCGTAGGTTTCGAGAATTCAATCCCATTTTGCAAATACTGTGCGGCTTCACATGCGGCGAAATTTCAATCTGCACACATAACTAAAACGGCGCTGAAATAGTACTAGAGAGGACAACCGGGTTGGGTAGGTTCGCACTTAAGTATCGAGCAATCCAACCTAGACGAGGGTTCAAGTCAGCTCAGAAAATGAAGTAGCCACCTGTCGACACCTGGGTCTCAGATACGCCTGGTGATAGCAATTTTTCCACGTAATTATAAACGGTTGATCGAGGTGTGCCGACTGAGAAAATGGTTTGCGGTGACCTGTTTATCTGTCAGTTCCGCGGCTTGAAGTAGTTACCTAATAGACATGCACGGTAGCCTGGTGCATGTTGCAATAATGTTAACGCCCCAACTCAGTTCTGCGTCTGATCATACCACGGAAGCGCTTTCACTAAAATAAACACCAAGAGTGTATAGGATGTATGAAACGCCAAAAGCGAGGTGCAAAACATGTTCGGCGCGTCGTATTCATGCTGTGCGCAGCATCAGAATTCGGGAGGCTCGAACGCCAATGAGGACTCGGATTGCTTCTGGGCCGGATTGTGGCCGGACTCCTGACCAATCAGCTGGGGATTGGACTCTTGTCCATAGCAGCACCCGGTTGTTGCCTTGCTGTCAGCCGTCAAATTAACAGACACGACCCGACCCTGCATTAACTTCATCTGTCACACTACAGTCGGAACTAATACAGCTTCCATGTTACATGAAGCTCCACATCATCGAGTGCTTCTCATGAGATTGTATGCGGCGTGTTTGGTGACTGCATGTCCGGGGACACGATATTGCGGGTACAAAACGCGTGCACTACATATTGAGAATTTCGATACAAGATTATCAGTCACTTTGTGGAAAACCACTGGGCTTCCGTCAAAGCTGTTCATTTGACTCCAATGGTAACAAGGCTTCACTGATTTTTTGTCGTCTTATGGCGGCACTCAGAACCTTGACCCATGGGTATCTAGCTGGATCAAGAGTTGCTAGAGCCTGTGTTGCCCATATTGTGGAGATGTTAAAGCCACGCCAAACGTACAGACGACTTACAAACTTGGTGTCCCCTGACTGCAAGTGTGCGTTCGATTCTGTCAATTGGTCAGTGCTGTTAGCCACACTTGTTCACCAGGACATGTCGCAGAAGCTTCTAAACATAATCCGATCCGTATATTCACATACCTTTTGGCTGTGAGAGTGTATGGTGATGTCCAAAAGCTTCCGTACAAAAGCCGGTGTTCGTCCAGGACATCCTCTCTCTCCATTCTTGTTCAGCTTCGTTATCGGTGACCTAATGTGGTGAAAGCTTGCAGGTCTTCTAACTCCCAGTATTCAACTTGTCTCTAGTGGGAACACTGTCCATCTGGAATACGTAGAGAGCATCGCCTCAGCTTTGAAAACCGAGGTGAAGCAAAAGCTCTCTTGAATAGACTGACTACGGTCACGCCAGCTTTCGGCATGCGCCTAGCACCTTCATAGTGCAGAGTCATGCTCCGTAGCTTGCGGTCTCTAAATTCACCCCTTTGCAATGCAAGGGGAATCGCTGCAGCTTGTGGGGAATTGTACATTCCTCGGTAGTTGTATTAGCTGTAGCGGAAGTGTGTCCGAAGAAGTCAAGTGCACGAATCTCAAAGGTCGAATCAAGTTTGCTGATTTGCGTCACCTGTGGCGCCGGAAAGACACATGACTGAGTCTTAAGTGTCGGGCTCACCAGGCAACAGTAAGGGCGGTGTTGTAGGGCTGCAAGACGGGGCCTCCGCGGACAGACGATGCGGGGCGTCTCCAGGTTTCTGATCACCGATGCCTCCACGGCGTTGTTGCTTTCGGGTGTCGTCAACGGATTAGTAACGAGGTGATTTGAAAGTGGGTAGTTGGTTATAAACTAGGTACCTCAATCGCGAAACCATCCAGTAACATCGACTACGATGGCTCGGCTGTGTTCTACGCATGCCGAAACACCGCCTACCGGGACGAGTGTTGTTCTTCATGCCTCTTTCAGAATGGCGAAAACCCCAAGGTGACTTGGCAAAACGGCCTAAAAAGACTACATAGAGTGTAATTGGTGTTTTACGCCCTCCATGATGAGGCTCCCGCGGCCTCTCCTACGCTTGGCTTGAGACACTACGAGAAATGGCGGTTGATCGATGTCAGTGGCGTTCGTGTTGTAAGTTCCTGTCCAGATTATTTGAGCGCCTCAGACCGCTTGGTATTGGCCAGCCCAATTTCTCCGTCACCCACTCTTCCTCTTCTTTCCACTCTAAGGTTTGAATTATAGATGAACGTATGGTTGTACGACTGTGAAACATCAGTGTCAACACTGATGTTGTCTCTGATGATGATGATGATGATCGCAGATCTGCAATTGAGTCCGTAAATCGTCCGAAACTGTAACATCGTCTCGTGTTGACGCCACTTCCACTGACTTGTGCGTGTCTACGACAGATTCTTTTTTTAGTTCACCAGGGCGGGATAAGGCAAGGCAGCGTTTGCTAACCGAGGCTTGTTGCACCAATTGTAACATCAGCTTGACCGCCAACAGTAGAATGCACAAAGCCACTGTGTTATCTTCCCCAATTAGTAGACCAGAGACGCGACAGTCGGTTGCACTCCACGGGTTACCTTGGTTGGTCTCTGTACATCATCTTCCAGAGAGCCGCTTGCCCCTTAGAACCTCTCAGCCCAGCCTTGTATTGGATCGGGACGACCCAGAGGTGATCGGTCTGTAACTTGGCAATGAAGCATGAAAGCCTTTACCAACTAATTCAGTTGAACTGATAACTACTGACTCTCTGTCTGGGGACCGGCGGACGGGAATAAACCCCGAGAAATAAGGTTGTGTCACGCAGCAAATGGTGGTCTGGCATCAAAGCTACCGTACTTACTGTGTAGCTCTCAATCCCTGCTATACTAAACAAACTGAATCACTTCAAGTCAACAGTTTGCTTGGTCCCTTGCCGTCAGCGCGCGGCTCTCAATCCATCGTTCTCCTTGTTCCCGATGAACGAAGCTGTAGCAGCTGGAACTACTGTTTTTTGTTGGATTTGAAAGACCTCGGTGGTCAGGACGCGACCTTACTGATCAGACGGTCCTTGATTCAAACCCAACCCTGTATCTCAATTGCTTCTGTTTGGGCTTATGCAACGGGGCGGTGGCTCAGCCCTCGTGCTTCTTCCGGGTGACATATCTGCAATGTTCATCATCATCAAAGACAGCAACATCAGTGTTGCCACCAATGCTTCACTGCAATGGTATTATTGGGGCCCTCGTTTTCGCCATAGCCAGTGGAGTTCTCCAATGTTTCGTTTCAGGCCATTACTGTTTCCCACGTGTTATGGTGACGTCCGACAGTGTTTACTGGTGAGCCCCCATCTTGGAATTCCGATGAGAACAGGCCCCTGATTAGTATTGCTCCGGCGGAGCGCTAACACTAGATCGGCCTTCATATTTTGACGATGGAAAAAACATCCGTCCATCTTTTCATGAAGGGTCTGGAAGCACTTTCGGGACACTTGACTAATGATAGTTATGATAGTGGTGTATTCATTTGCATACCAGTTTGGTTTTAACGGCGGCTCAGGTGAGTCCCAGATGAATCTCTCAATGATGAACGTGCTGCACAATGGCCGGCTTGTGTTCCGTTTGGCGTGATGCTCGGGAAACGGGTGCTGTGCCTACCCTATGAGACTCATGAAGATTGAAACTTGTCCCTAGCTGTCTAAGTGTTTTCAACAACCTCGTGGGCAGTAGTCTTTAAAATTGATAGTAATGGTTCAGTTGTGCTACCTTTTTCGGTACATTGCCCCCATGCAACCAAAAAGTAGCAGGAGAGCTAAAGTGCCAGTGGGGTTGGGTCGAACTAGCTGTCAATAGCTTCCAATTTTAGCCGTTGTGCCATCCTAAAGAAGGACGTCGAACTCTACCCTGGTCGGGCCTCTCTCGATATGTCATCCCCACTTTACTGTGGCAAAAGTGCCCACAGGGACTACACCCACGGAATTAACTAAGCCTTCCTTTCGTGAATTTCAAAATTCTATATGGCATATATTTCCCTGCCTGAGTATATCATCCACGTAGTATATAGGGACTGGAGAGTGGCAGTAATATGTTAAAAGCGTCCAACCCATAACTCAGAAGACTGTCCTTGGTCCGTTGCATGCGAGAATAACATTGAAGCGACTGACCTCTATCTCTTGAGTCGCCGATATTTGCAGGATAATCTTATTTTAAACCACCCTCGTTTTCGAAGGCAGTTCAGCAAATGGTTTTTGGCGTTTCGCTTCAAGGACCACAGGTGGTGACGCAAAATAAAACTGTTCAAAGTAAGAACATGCGATATTTATAGCGGCACTTGCATGTAGTAAATGTGCAGAGCAGCTTACCTCAAAACCGTGTAATACAGTGGCTTTTTACTTGACACTATTCTGCCACTATGGAGGCAGTTCTAGGTGAATTGTACGATGTGGTTTTGTATAATGAGGGATCTCATCGCATTTCCCCTGCTTCCTTAGTGAGGTTTGAAAAGTAGCTATTTGCACCGCATGTCGCATCGTCAGATCTAGTCATGTTCGCGAACTGAAAATTTCTGAGTGATGTTTGCTCTCAGGTATTTGCTGCCCTTTACTTATGATGAAGCTGTCTGCAGCTTTTAGTTTCCCTCCAACCCTCGCATAACTTACGACTTCTTTCGTTTCCAGTGCTGAGGATCGTGTATATGTGACTTTTAAGTCGCAAAATGCTGCGTTTTGCGGTGACTCAGCTCTCCAAGTGAGTTTGTTCCCCGTCGCTACCCTACCGCATTTTCGTTAGGTATCTTTTGGCCTCTTGCCAGTGTCAGCCGGTTCGCTCGGTCGGTAAATCTTCCAAGGTTATTTATCCCTGGATGGACAGAAGGAAGCCTTACTGGATATCTGAGACACCGGATCCACGTTCAGATGAAGACCTAACACCTGAAAACAAGTCATTTTTAGAGACTGAGCGCCTTCTCCAGATGGAGAACAAACGTACTCCCTTAATCACCGAGCAATGGGAACAAAGGGAATGGATACCTAATGTTACACAGCGCTGTGGATTGATCGCAATCAAATTAGGGATGTATCCACTCTGGACAAAGACGGGTAGGAGGTTGGACTGCACTATTTTCCAGGTATGGACCAGAATTATCCTTGCTGTTCATCACCTCACACGTGTTATTTCCTTCAATTTACACATAGATTCTTACCGGTTGTTACAGTTATGCACCATGCATGAACCTTAGTTCGGTTCTTTCATTGATAATGAGCTCTCGGGAGGTGATTGCGCCCAGAGGTGGTTACTCGTTTGGTTGAAATGCCGAACTACTTTTCGTCCCATATCGGTGATACGCATACGTTTTTGGAGTTGTGCCTGAGCGGTCGACTAGAAGACAAGCATTGAACATAAGGCTCTGGGTGCAGGGTGGCCTTTACCGATGAGTGGTGTTTGTTACTGTCTTTAATCCATCTCAGGGTCCTACCCATAATTATGGTGGTTGGCAACTGGGTAGGGTTTGATGCCTGTGATTTTGCACTCTACTGCGACTGTTTCCAACCATAACATGGTTGACCAGAAATGTCATGCAGAGAAGCTTGTTTGGTGAACATTACAGTAATGGAGTCCACAACAGTGTGTGGAGTAATTATCAGGGTTGTTTGATATTCCTTTCATTTGTTTAAGATCCGATTTATATGGACATCTGTCGTATGAGTACTTGATGTATGCATGAGAACCTCATGGGAATATTTCGACCCAGTGGTTACCGGCGAGTTTTACAGGGAATACAGATGAGAATCGTTGAGTAGTGAGTTAAAGCACAGTCTTACTTGACATTACTTGGTATAATGTATTTAAATGAAAGCCTGCGCAGACCTGTACAAGGTCATATGTGTTAGTCTACAACACTTTCAATGTAAAAAGTTGTCTTTTCGACACTCAAAGCTGTTAGTCGTGCTTTGTCCTTTGAGCGTTGTACGCCCTCTATGCTTTGTCCTGTTTAGCACACCTAGGAGTTTCTCTGTACTTGAAACCGATTGATTGTCTCTGTACAGCCAGTTGTAAACCTTCATATGTGGGAAAGTAGTGAATACTAGGCAATTTTCCACTGAGGGCTTCGTATCGTTCGGTCATATCAACCCTGTTGTAATCGATCTGAAACCCTATCAGCTGGACTAAACGGACGGTTTTGTCCCAGATGCATTCTCCATTGTGCGGGTTGCTTGCTGAGACTTTTTGCTTGTACGAGACTAACTCCTGCTCGTCATCATCGTCATCACGATTCTCGTTCATGGCAACGTTAACCCCCCCCCCCCGCTACCCAAACTGGCTTTATCCCGTCACGTGTAATGCTGTTAGCACTCATGTAATCTGCTCATTCATAATAGACTGTCCGCTAAAAGTATATGTATCTGATTAACCTCCCATTTCGGGGCTAGACCGTTTGTGGTAGCTCCGTGTTATGCCACATTTTCAGCTCAGGTTTTTCTGTTTTCGATCGCCAGCGGTCTGTAGAACCGAATCGCAGCTTAGATGCATCGTTGGCAGTCCATAAAAGCTGAAGACTCATTTGGCAACATAACCCCATCCTATATTCTATGACACTGGCATATGAATGTCCAGGTCTGTGATCAGAGCATCGGCACTTCATTCGTCGAATAATCTGCTATCTTGATGGAATGCTTCCGCCTATGACACTGCATATGAATGTCCAGGTCTGTGATCAGAGCATCGGCACTTCATTCGTCGAATAATCTGCTATCTTGATGGAATGCTTCCGCGTGATAGTGATATCAGTTGGTTAACAACAAACAAACGTCTTCGTCTTGTATTGTGCGGTTACCCAGTTACCGGTACCGGAGTCAGAAGTCAGTCAGACTAACCAGTTGCTTGTGGAACGTAGTGGAGCTGTTATTCCCAAACACTGTCATCCGGCTTTTAGAGACATGGTTTTATGCCTCTATCTTATGGACAACATTTCGGTGATATTAGCAGTGGGGCTTGGATGGGTCCGAGAACCACCAGGTCGACGTAAGTTACCAAGCTTTCAGTTAGATTTTGATGACGGATACAAGATTGATCAGTGCAGACAGCGGTCAATGGGGACGCGAGACTGATCTGAATTGATTGTTAATCGTAGAAATTTTCGTCCGGTTTCTTCCAGACGCGGTATATCGTCGTTCTTCCACGAAATTTTTTGGACGATATTCTTTCATGCACTACTTCAGGGTACGGCTGCCGAGTAGTGATCCACGGCTTTGCTGCTTTACTCAGCTGTTTAGCGTTAGTATGAAGGTAGTCTAAATCTCTCGTGACCTCCTTTTGATGCGTCATGTAGCCACCAAATAAGCTGAACGAAGGGGAAATTCACTCCTCACCCTTTTCTCAACTTACCACTGTCGACAAACATTGGCAACGGAATGTTGTCAGCAACCTGTTTTATACCCTATTGCCATATATGCTACTTGTGGCTGATCGTCACTGTTCTGCAGAGGAGATGGGTTTGGCAAAATTCTCTCTGCTTTCCAAAAAGGCGTTTTTATCCCATCGTTCTACTTATCTATCGTCTGAATATCACTCTGTGGTATCATTTACTTTTAGGTTCCTGACAACCATGCCTTACGCTACGTTCCGCCTTCGGACATCGATCAGTATATCAGCCTCAGGGATCCTAGAGGTTATTGGTTGAACAGCAAGCGAATCCCGTCGTGGATCGCCCAACGTCGCTGGGGTCTTCAGCTAGTTGGAGCTGTAAGTGCCGATCCTCTTGAGTTTAGCGCTGCATGGTGCGGGCTTTTCAAAGAGGCTGGTGTACCACCAAAACGCAAAGTATCCCGCTTTCTTGTCACTCCAGACGCCGCGCTGAAACCAGGTAAGTGCATAGCATCTTTGCGTTCAATATTCAGTTGGAGTTAGGCTCGAGGTAGCTCAGTGGTTAAGGTGCCAGCTTACGGGCCGGAAGGTTCAGTGTTCGAACCCAACCTCAGCATCTCGACTGTTTCTGTCTGGGCTTGGGCAACCTGGCAGTATCTTAGCCCTCGTGCCTCCTTTTGTTGGCATGGCAGCTAGGCATGCCTAAAGCTGAACGATGGTGTGTATAATTCTCAGTAGCGCAATCCATTTACCTGACGTTTTTTGCTGCAACTACTATTGTCCCAGTGCTGCTGTACAACTGTGTATTCCCACCACAAGAAATCAAACGTTAGTACCTCTGGGGTATGACTACCTCATTAAAACACTAGGGATTTTTCGAAGTTGTTGTAGAGCTAGAACAGTATTCGATTTCCCAACTTATATCGGTGAGGCCCCTTCTCATTCATTTTCTGTCCCGAGGTCAACCAAGGTCAGATGCATACCACATCTCTGCATGGCCCCCTGCTATAACGATTCCCTTGCCCTTGCACTTTCGTCCGAGAAGGCAGTGCAATCCAAGCTCCAAGAGATCACCACATCCAACCCTAGGGTTGGTTGGCTACTGAGTACAACATGCAATTAACGGTCGGATATGGTCCGTCGACTACATTTTTACGTTGTTTCACACGTCAGGGCATCTGCGCTAGGTTCTACTCTTCATTGCAGTTTCGTGATGTGCAATTTTAACTTCGACAGTCCCAAACTATACTTCGCCGTCCGCATACTTTAACCTGCGCCACTCTTTCAATGCCGACATTATAAGTAGGGAACATATTACTGACAACTGGAGCACATTTTAAGAAGCTTTATCTAAATCCCAGCACAAACTGCGCCTTCATAAAAATGGAACTGTTAATAAACGCCCGAGGTGAGATTCTGAAACCCTTTTGCTGATATGCCGGCAACCTTAGACTTTCTGGTGATCCCCAAATCATCGTTTTTCGGGTGTACTAATAGATTCGACGGAGAACTCTTGTTAGCAGTGGCAATGCACTGACCACAACTTTTGAAGAAATGGTCGGCAGCGAGAATACAATCTTGCGTATAGTCTAACAACTTTTGCTTTCAGCTTCCATTTTCTCCGACGCGATCTGTCCGCATTTTACCACCATTTAGTTTGCACCTATACAGTCTGCGAACTCACTGGATAAATCTACTAGGCCAGCCTCACTGTTGACTGCGACAGGTTCGTGAAACATTACTAAGGCTTATCGCTAATTGGTGCTTTTCTCTTACTAACTGCATACTCCGAAGACTCCATCCTACGTGATATGATCTGTCGAACCTGTGCGTTTAAGTGTATAGTGTATGCGAAAGGGACCAAACGACTGGGATTTGTCGACACTGGTGCCCACTGTCAAAAGGAGTGCTAGCAGTGAGTGCGATAATCACAGGGTAATTACTTGACCCCGTTGGAACCAGACTCTGCGTCTCTCATCCCGCGTCGTTTTACAAATGCGCGTGAAGGCGAGACCCGAGAACAGCAATCAGGACTCTTGACGGGGAGAATTTGTGTGGATCACATCTTAGCACTCCATCAAAAGTTGGGTCAACAGCATATGCCAAGGTCCTTTACAATCTTGGTATTCCTTTACTTCAAGGTCGCTTTCGATTTTGCCCACCGGTTAGTTCTCAACGCCGTTGCGCAACAGGATATTCTCCAGAAGTTCGTAAATATCACGCGCTGTTTGTGTTCTCATACTTGTGGGCGTATGTGTGTCTCCAAAAGCTTTCCTACAAGTAATGCAATCTGAAAAGTATGTCCACTCTGTCCGTTTTTGTTTGATTTCGTTAAAGATGAGGTAATGAGACGAACTCTCGAATGTCTCCAGTGCTCGGATCTCTCCGAGCGGCAATCTTGCTTATCTGGAATATGAAGACGACACTGTTCTCCTTTTTTGAAAAAATAGCGAGAAGCGCAAACACAACTAGAAAAGTTGGCTAAGGTCATCCTGTCCTTTGGCATGTGCCTCGCACCCACGAACTTCGCAATCATATTGCTGGAGGTACAGTTTGGACATAGCTCTGAGAATTCAGTTAGCGGCACTGGAAGTTGTGGAACGCTCTACGTACATCGTAAGTTGTATTAACTTTGACGTTAGTGTTACCGACGAAGTCATTAACGCATCAACGGCCAGAATAGTGCTTACCAATACACGCCACTCGTGGCATCGGAAAGACATGTCATTGGGTCTCAAAAGACACGTGTGTCAGACAACAGTGTGGACTGTATTGTTGGGCGGCTACGAGACTTGATCACTGCAAACGGAGCATCCGAAACGTCTTCAGGTCTTTGAACACCAATGTCTACGAACCATAGCTGAAATCGGTGACTTCTTCAGTATCAGGAGGGAGGTCTCTGGTGAAGCAGGAGGTACTTTACTCCGAGATTAGACCAGCACTTGGAGCTAAGTTGGCTCGGCCATGTGCCACGCATGCCGAGTTACCGCTTGCCTGATTCGTAATGGCGAGAACCTAGTGGTGGACAGAATTTGACATGACGGAAAAGAATGAAGGATCTTACGGAGGGTTTGGGAACTGTTGATGCTCTATAGCTTCCAGGATAAGGCCCGCGTGGCCTTTGCTCTGCTGAAGACACTGAACGGTATGGCGGCCAATCAGTGTCAGCGACATCCACCCTGTCAGTATCTACTCAGATCTTCTGAGTGTTGGAGATGTGGGCACCTCGTGTGTTTGCTGCAGGGTAGCCCTACGTCCCCCTCCTTTCTCCAGCTCTTTCTTCTCTTGATTGTAAGACTTTATTCAAATAAATTGACATGATTGTAGGACAGTAAAGCACTGGTGTTCGTGACTGGTTTTGCTTTCAATGATGGTGATGCACCCTAAATCACAGGAGTAATTGTCGGGCCATAACCGTAGTGCCATTGCGCCTGTTTGTCGGAGTCGTTCGAGACTAACAACTAACTTGCACAATTGAGCTTGCGCATTACATGAAACGTAGGCTTCTTTCCCTTATTTTAAGTAAACCAGCTGAAAGAGACGCTACGTACCCCACCTTCCGAATGTTTACGACTGATGCGTTTGCTGTACATCACTTCGACGCTGTTCATGAAACAGTTTACTAACATAGCACCCTTCGGTATTCCTTCAGCGTGATATCCCACTGATATGGGACAGCCTCTAGGTTGTGATTTTCTTGTGAGATTTTTGTGGATATCATGTTTGTGTCAAGCCCCATCGTTCCACAAAGAACTTTAAAGATAAGTTGAATCCGAATATAGTCTCCGAAGTTACGAGAAGAAATTTCAAACTTTTGTGCACATTACGCGTCCGTTGCGGTTCGTCTGTTTCGAACATGAGTTGTGTGTCAATGAGGGACCACAAACTCGATAGCCTAACCGATCATTGAAGGATATAGGGTAGTCAACGTTATCTCCACAATTCTCACTGCGATAAACGGAAGTTTACCCTGTTGTTGGCGTCCATCTTGGAAAGGGGGACTGTCCCATGTTCAGAGAAAGATCCCGTGGTGAGTGCAGTAATCATAAAGGGATTGACTTCAGTTGTAAGGAGACTATTGACGTCTTCTGGTGACCCGTGAAGTATTGACCCCAGAGAAGCAAGGGGCATTGCGGTTTGGTATGGGTGGCGTTTACCATATCTTCACACTCAGTTGCGAGAATAACAGTGATGTATAAATGACCCACAGTTTTGTTACTCGTGGAGTTCCAAGTGTATTTGGCCGTTCTACGCTCCTTAACCCGCTTTCCCAGCAAGGACTGCCCCGGGAGTGTGTGAATATAATAGGCTCTTGGTATTTTCGAACTTCCGGATGCATGATAATACACGGGAAGCTCTGTAAGTTTCTGTGCACAAGGTAGTGTCTGACAAAGATGTCCACCCTCTCCACTCCCATTCGGTTTATTGATCGACGGGTTAATGAGGTGAACACTGGATGGCCTTCAAAGTCAAGTTGTTAAATAGTTGCTGACACAAACCATGCTGATCTGGAATATGTGGACGGCGTCTTCAAAGAGATGGAGCAGGTGTTTTTGGATGCGCTGACCAAAGTGATCCCGTCCTTTGGCATGCACTTTTCGCCCACAATGTGTAAGGTCATGCTCCTGGACATGAAGTCGCCATACCTACAATCCAAGAAGAGGCACTTGAGACTGTGGAGCGTTCTACCTATCCTGGGAGTCGTATTAGTTCCGACTGTAGTTTGATGATCCGAGTTTACTAATTTGAGCCACCTTCGGCTTCGAAGCGATACATCTCTGAATCTCAAGGGATGTGTGTATCAGGCTACAGCACGAGTTGCTTTGTTTTATGGCTGTAAGACGTGGTCTGTTGGTACAGCGGAACTGAGGCACCTTCAGGTCTTCGACCACCGTTGTCTCGCAACCATAGCTCGTGTAGGCTGTTGCTGGTGAGTCTACAACGGTACAATTGGAATGCGAGGTTTCATTTGTGTGACGTGGATTTCCATCGAGTAATGGCGTCCAGCACCAAAGGCTACGGTGGTTTGTTCATATATTGTGCATGCTGAACCATGGTTTGTCGAAAATAGTTCTGTTCTACATGCACAATTTAGGGTGGTGAAAGCAGAGAGGTGGCAAACCTTTGACCCAGCAGAAGAATGAGATAGAGTACGAAAAGTCTGGGTACTGTTGGTGCAACTTGCCTTCCAGGATGGGTTCCGCGTGACCTCCTACTCTCCGTGCGGGGTTGAAGACATTGCAAGAGACGGCTACTAATCGACGTCAATAGCGTCGTTGTCAGTTTTTATCCAGGGTACCCGACTGGGTTTCTGTAGATCTGGGCGCCTCGAAATGATTGTGGTGGGCTATCCCTGCATCCATTTCTAATGCACAAGTGTTCTTTTCTTCATAATGAGGCTTTCTAAAAAAGCATAATCGTCAAACACTAGTGTTGTGTTGTCAATGTTAACCTCAGTCAGTTAGTATTTGCTTTGGCTCTGCTAGGTTCAGACGTCGCCGCGTTTTGTGTTTCATTGTTATTGAGTCCTATCACAGGATGGCTAATATAGTGGCAAAGTCAGTGTTGATACGCTATCATGTGTCACGACCAATCCAATATAGCCGTCCACCACTCAACTTGAAAGGGTCGTAAAATGATCGATAACTCCAGAATGCTATTTCCATCTCTTGAGTACACGCAGCTCACTTCACTTGAACCGTTGCGTTGTGAAGTAAACCCCAGCTTGACCACTCCGGCACATTGGTCTGTGACGGAAGCAGTCAGTTTGGTGGGTGAATAAATTTTTATCTATTCTCTGCGTTAACAATACCATATTGTTCTAACTGCTTAGAAATCAGTATAATTCTTTACTACAGTGGTTAAGCTGCACTACCCTTTCGGTGCCTAACTGCCGTGCCACCTAAAGGAAGCACAAGGGCTGGGATACTGCCAGGTTGCCCAGACAGTGAAAGTTGAGATACAGATGTTGGGTTCGAACCACGGACCTTACGGTCAGTAAATTCGTGCTCTAACCACTTGAGCCAGCTCGTTTTCAGGCAAAGCATTAGGTGGATGGAAATTCGAGGACTATGTCTGCCTGATGACTTTCAAGCTAAACAAAGGGACTCGTGTGCTGTCTGGGAGTTTCCACCAACTTGGTTGTCGTCTCCCACTGTGATTTTACAGATGAGTGTTGCAACTAGTGATCCGATGGCGGAGCCATCGTAGTCGTTGATGCTGGATGTTTTCCGCGACTGGAGTACCTGTTGCACAACCAACTACCCGTTTTCTAATCACCTCGTTACTAATCCGTTGACCCCATCCGAAACCAAGAACACTTATGAGGCATCAAAAACCTGAAGACGCCTCACATCTGTCCGCAGAGGCCATGTCTTGCACCCATACAACAACACAGCCCTTACTGTAGCCTGGTACACATAACCCTTAGGATTCAATGAGATGCCTTTTTAACGCCACAGGTGACGCAAATTAGCAAGCTGAATTCGAGCCCTTTAGACTCTCGCGCCGACTTCTTCAAACACATTTTTATCAAAGCCAACACAACTACCGAGATATGTAAAATTCTCGGCGACCTCAAGTGATTGTCCTTGAAATGTAAGGGGTATGTTCGAAAAATGTACGTTCTGAGGTATGATTTTGCATTTCGGACGTGCAAGGCATATACTGAACGATGAGACTGAAAATGTATTCTGTATCCCTCGATCTTATACACCACTTGTCATTTGATCCTACCCTTCTTCACTTCATTTTATTCGAGAAGGTCTAGCTGCTTTTTATCGGGCCCTTCAAGCACGGCTGCGGGTGCATTGGAATCAAGAAATATTTGGGTTCACTCTCAATTAGGCCACCTTTCTCAACTTCACCGAGCGAATGCTTTACGACCTTATTCACGCTTTTTACCAATCATCAAGACTTCTGAGTCTTTCTTCCACATTAAAATACACCGGTATTAAGACACTTGGTCATGAACCTCATGCTGCGTTAGATTGCACTGCTATCACTTTCCGGTGTGTGTGTGTGCTCAGCTCACCAGGTCTCACACTCACCCTCCTCGAACACCTAAACTTCACATCGAGACATGTGAACAATGTGTGTTTTGAGCGTGGAAAACACTGTGAAACCCTGAGGTCCCGTATTATCTACCACGGTTTGTTGAAGTAAGATCTCTGTGTACTTACTTCATTGTGATGGTTCAATATTCCCATCGAAATCCGTCTGTTCTTCCTTGGTCTTTGTAGGCACGCCGTTGGGAGTGCACCACTTTCGAATCGGTGACTATGTGGATGTAACTGCTCGGACGTAAGTTACTCGCTGGTTGCGCACACTTTGAACCATCTTTTTTAGTATAGCATAGTGCATAATAGAAAGTTGAAAAACGAACATTCTAGGGTGACCCCAGTTGCTACATTTGGGACGGCACGCCGCACTAAATACGTCCGGATGATTCTCGTTTTGGTAACGAAGCTTGGCGGGCCAAGTAGTGCATTCAGCGGAGGCTCACGTAGCGTAGCGTTCTTAGTGATGCATAAATCTCCTTGCTAGTATGTGTTCGGCTTCGTAAGATACATTGGTTCGGGTCTCGCTCCACTGGCGTTGTTACGGATTATAGGTAGCTCTGGTGCGCTGCTCGTTTCGCTTATACCAAATCGTTTGTACTTATTTTAGGACAACAGCGTGTTTAGTAAAACGGGAACCAATTGTTGGTCCTACTCATGTTCAATAAAGGTACCCGAACCGGTCAATCATAGGACTGTAAGTCTCATGCCTTCGTAACACGGCTACTGACGCCTAACTTCGGTACATGATACACAAATCCTATTGCATCAAGCAGTATTTCAGCCTGGCAGAGAATGAATTGATCATATTTCTGCATTACTTCAAGTGGTTAAACAGCGTCACGTATACCGCTGACCACCAGTCGACTTTAACTGGGCCTTCGACCCTGGATAGATTCGATCTCCTGAATAGTATTGAACCGTTTGCCGAAGAGAGTACTGTTTTCCATGCCCAACTCAGAGTGGCGTAAACAGAGAGGTGGCTAACCCTTGACTTGGCAGAGGAGTATGAAGCAGATCACGAAACGCTTGGGTGCTGTCGGTGCTACTCATCTCCCAGGATGGGGACTGCGTGATCCTCACTGTGCCTGGTTGGAGACACTACAAGATATGGCTGCCGACCGATGTCAGTGGCGTTCTTGTTGTCAGTTTCTATCCAGATCGCCTGAGTGAGTGTCTGGAGGTATAGGCACCTCGGAATGATTGTGGTGAGCTAGCACAAATTCCCTTCCCCTGTCCAGAAGTGTTATATTTCAAATTTCCTCATCATATGCTTCCCTGAAATTTCAGAATGAAGATTTCGGGTTTGCTGATCGCTTCACATATCTTGGTAGCTGCATAAATGGTGATTGTACTGTAGTAGATGGCGTCAAAGCGCGGGTGGCATTCGCCAACTTGCGTCATTTTTTGCGTCGAAACCGAATTCCGCTGAAACCAAAGAGTTATCTATACAAAACAGCTGTAATAGCGTTCCTACTCCATTGCGCCCCCGGTATGAGGACTGAGGTGTCTTCAAACTTTCGATAACCGGCATCTTTATTGCACAGCAAGATTTTGCTGCCTTCACTAAGAACACAACGATATGGTGCGTAAGCGGATACCTGGTAACGAATCCAACTCGCGAGAATAGTTCCAGGTGATTAGGGTATGTATTACGGGTGCCCGTCCACCACCTACCAAGCGATTGTTGGCGAGATTTTCGCCGGCTCAGACCATGACGTAGCAACGTGAAATGAAAGTGGTTACAGCCCAACTGAGCGCTGTGAGACCTTCGCACCTTTCCAGCTTAGCGCACGTGATCCTAACTGCATGTGGTTTGAAATCCTGCAAGACATGGCATGCCGCCTTTCCGAGGGCGCGGATGCCATCATTTCTCAGTCAGACTTTAGCCTGTCTTTGTGCGTATGTCGAATGCGTTTCGCAAAGGACATTTTGTCGATCCCGCTGATGGCTACATGATGCTGATATGTGTTTATTTTCGTGTTGTCCAAAAACGTAAACATCCGAACAATAATCATTTTTCCAAAAGACAGAAGGCTCCTTCGAATCAAGTCCCTATTCTTTCCCTTTATTTCTGCTCTTTATTAAGGCTTTCTTCCCCCATGGTTTCATGGCAGTTGAGCGCCGGTGTGTATTGCTTGTATATGGCTGTTGATGACGCACCTCTTTCTTGGTTTCCGTAAAATACGTTGGATTCCGAATATCTCGGACAGGGTTTTTGCCGTTGCTTGCTTCAAAATTGAGGTCATGTGACAGCTTGTGTAGTGTGAGGATAATGTATTGTTCGTGCTCGGGATTGACAGTCATTGGCTTGGGGTCTTTGTGGGGTTTTCGTGATTGTTACAACCGTATTAATAGTAGTGTTAGTGGATGACCGTGCGGCTAATTAATGCACATGCCTGCTGTCCTTGATCTGTTTGATGTATTGTTTTGGGGAACGATGATTGCCTTTCTGAGGGAGGCTGCCGGTACAGCTCCACTTAGCTCTGTTTCGGAAATCCTTCCAGTCAGTTGTGACCACTTTTTGATATCCGTAGGATTAATCGTGGTTTTCAAGGCGTCATCGAGCGTTGGGAAATGCGTGGTGGTCCAGCGGCACACGGATCAACTAAATTCCACCGTAGAATGGGCAGTGCGGCTGGAACTGGTGTAAGTCTATCCTATTATCTGTGTTGTATAGCCAGGTTTCATAGCATCACTCCTCTGTCCGATTACATTCCACTGTGTTGGTTCAAATTAATCATTGTTGCGGTCTTCAGTTGTATTCTAGTTTCTATATGGCAGCCTAGATTTTCTTTGTGACGATCCGTTTATCCAAGTGTAAGGTGGAAAACTAATACTTTCAAGTCTACCGTAATAGGAAAATTTCAAAGTGCGCTATCTCTCATTCGAAACTTTCACCTTTCAGCATTCCCACGTGTTCGATATCACCCTAAGCGGTGAAAAAGTTGCTCGTTTGGAGCATTCTTATCTGTTGTAAATAAAGATGACACAGAAGCTCGGCTAACATAACGACGATGAAATAATTAGAGAGCACAGAACCAAAGTAATGAGCTGGTGTGCCGTGACTCGTTTCCTCAAAACGCGAACCATTTAGCGCTTCTCTGCCTAGCCACTGGCTACGCAGTTTTGTGCGTGTGGATCACTGGCTACTGTTGAGTTAGGGCTTCAGTAATAGCTAGCATGAATTAGTTTTTTTTCGGGTTTGCACTGTTCACTCCGAGAAGTCCGCCGTTGTGGTGGATCTGAAGGACGTCCACTACATTTTTAGATATTACCTTGTTACCACTGCCAAGGTTTATCGGTGGTTGTAAAACTCCAGATTGTTTGTCATGGCTGTCATCCAGCCTTGCTGCAACAATCGATGGCAAAAATGTGGGCTACCTAGGCTCATCGTGTATCGAAGACGCGGAAAGTAATGATCCCGGGAAAGCAGGTAGTCCTTTAAGGCAAACTTTTGATCCCTTAGATTCTACCCTAGAACCGATGAGTGTTTTCTCCTAGTCCTCATCCTTTAAGCTGGAAACGATCTTCCTCTTCAGGGTCGAGTTATTCGAGGCAAACGAATGGCTGGAGTAATGGGCAATCGATTTCGTCACGCGCGTGGTCTTATGGTAAGTAACTTTTATTTGTTTATCCATTGTTCTAGCGGCTCAGCTGTCATTGATCCTCTGTCTTTCCTGTCCCATCACGTGCCCGTCCACAGAATGAAATGCACTAAAGTGAAGGTTGACCTTCGGTTAAATTCCTTTCTGGAATCCTGCTAAATTCTAGTATAAGCTTTAATCGAGGTTTCTTTTTCCGATTCCATGTGGAACATTTAAAATACGGGACTGTTGTATGAGGGGTAATGTGACACCATATTTACAGAGATGACCCTGTAAGTCAACACATCTAGGTGGAGTTGTTACTGAATAGGATAATACTGGCGAAGCTGTGACTCGCTGTATCATCGGTTAAACAAAACTTAGTGTTCTCATCGGATCGCACTGGAGCTTTCATTTTCCAACGCATCACAAAAGTGACGCCCCTCATTTTGGAGGACGTTGTTATCTTGGAATTCCCGGTGAACCGAACGAGGACGTTAAACATTATCGAACGGTAACGAAGATCCGATGCACTGAAAACCCTTCTAACCGAAGAACATCATAAACGAGAGGTTCAGTTGGGTTCCAGGTGAGTCTGCCGTCAAAACTAAAATGGTATGCGAATGAGTGTATTGATCAGTAACGAAGATTCCTTTCCACAGGACACTAAGCTGCTAGATGGTGGATTTTTCCACGTAGTACCCCATAGTTATTCACTTCAACTTGTGTGCCCACAAGTGAATGAATGGCGGACATACTTTAACATATTTTGACAATGAATTGTAGGGATGACCCACCGCACTATCTCATATTGAGCCCCTTTGTCTTATTCAGAACTTTTGTATATGGTATCTTCATCGACTGCATGATGAAAAATGGTCATACTGTATTGTAGGATTATCTATGTCTTCATAATATGGAGATGTCCCGGTATCTTTGTTGAGGTTTCTTGAGTTGGCTTGGCAAGAGCCTTGAATCACCCTGGGAGAAATCCCATGAAGACTTGGCGTGGAGTATTTGTGCCAGCGGTCTGGGTATCTCAACTGATTACGAGAACTCGTTCGAATCTCGACCGAGATACGGTAACTTTTCAATCACGCTTCAAGTTAATCTCATAGTTATTTCTCCTTACTAGTAAAAAATATTCCGACATTTGAGTACAAAATGTGAATCTCGACCGAGACACGGTAACTTTTCAATCACACTTCAAGTTAATCTCATAGTTATTTCGTTCCTTACTAGTGAAAAATATTCCGACATTTGAGTACAAAATGGTGATCGTAGACTGCAGCGGGAGTACGTACCTTACAGTTCTGCACACACCTTGTGACAAATGGCAAGCGTATTCCTGGTAGTGTCAAAGCAAAGTTAGACAGTTTTCCTTCGGCCCTCGTTGGATGTCTAAATGAATATACACTATGGTTACGCTCGGAACAAAATGCATAAGAACCCGCTCAATAAATTTGGACTCTCTCGTCGCGCAGGGTATGGTTCTACCGCACAAAACAATGGAACTGAGGCTTTCTAACCTGCACACAGTTGTCTACAATTAGCAGACTCACAGTTCAAGACAATATTCGATCGCCACAACTTTGTGTAAGAGCATTCTTCCAGGCCTATGAGCTGGTGATTCTGTGGACTTTCAAGCAACTCTCCAAACTCTTTTGCAGATACCCGGAATGGTTTATCGTGCTTATGTTCCCTGCTGCAAAACGCGCAACAGGTGGTCTACCTCAATATCAAGTTGCGAGTAATGCGGATGAGCTTATAGAACTATGGTAGTGACCTCCGAATACAATAAGGCACAGTCACGACTATTTGGTGTGAAAGTGACGTCTGCATACTTACCTGCGGCCTGTGCTCGCGGATAGCTATAAAAATGCCGCCCATCTCGTCAAGGCGATATAATGCTATGCGAGATCGTAAGCGATAACAGGTAGCTTTGGGACAAGTAGAACGGAAACTCGGGGACTGCGCCTACTTGATGAGCCCATAGAAGGGCGAAACCGGTCGTGGGCTGTCGAAGGGTTTTCAGCAACCTTGTGAGTAGTTTCGTTTGCTTGGATCATCATACATCAGGTCGTTTGCGGCAGTTTTACGTCAGTTTCGGACACTGAGGTGGGCCGAAAACTCTGAAGGATAACTGAAAGGCAACTTTGCGCGGTTGTGTAACCCGATGGTTGTAGTCCCCGTGTTGAGTGTGTCGCAATGGCAGGAACAAACATGAAATTTGAGGAATTCAGGACAGGCACTGAGGTGTGTGAAGGAACAACTCATTTCTGTCCAACACGGGGAAGATTGTGACCGAGTTGCCCGTGCACAAGTAGGCGGGCCTGTTCCTCGTCGATCGATTTCGAGGCTGCCGCAACGTCAGTCGCAATTTTGTTTTGGCTTTCTGTCATTGTTTTATACAGTGATTCCCAATTGAAAAACCATTCCTGCGACGCAAAAAGTGATCTTCGTCAGGGATTGGCACATTTCTGACCGACAGCATCTGCCTTGTTTTTCCTGTTATTTTCTCACTTGTATTTATAAAATGCTGTCCTTAATTAATCATGTACTACCTCTCACGGAGAGCTTTGAGTAAATTTCACCTATTTACAAAGTTCACTTCTTGAGGGAGCTAATATGCCAAAACTGTCATTGTTCCAAATATTTCGAACTTCTCCGCCCTTTTGCTGAGAAGAGAAACTCTCCAGAACCGAAGAGAGAGAGCCGTTTCTGGTTCCCTGCACAGCTGAACATACTTTTAGGAAGAAAGGGGAATACCCTGTTACGAATGTGCTGTCGAACTAAACAGTTCATGTCGTGAGTACAGTGGATCGAATGTCCCGCCACATCTGGTGGCTGTTTTTAGACAGGAGTGGTCTCAACTTAGCCTGCAGGTTAGCCTCGGATAGACACACAGCACTATTCAGTGAGACTAAGGTGGTAAAGTGGAGCTGAAACAGCGTTCAAGAACTAAATATTCGTCCAGTTCCAAGTAACGGTTATCAGTTTCGCTGCCACACAATATATTTTGCTGGTTCCCATTTTGGGTTAGCTATTTGGAGATACCACTAGCTCGTTTTGGGCTGGAGGACTCGGGCCATCCAACTATTCACCACGTTATGCCAACACGTGTTAATCAAGGAACCACCAAGGTCACATTGAGTGCACTGAGCGCTTAAAAAAGCGAAAAGAAATATGTGGATGGCATCGTATTCAAATTGTAGATAACGATAACATTGTGGAAATTCAGATACATGGGCGCACCATTAATAAACGGCATTCGGCGGACGCTGGGAGATTGATCTCTGTTGAGTCCACATTTTCGACCAATCAGAGCTCGCCTTGAAGTTGAACGGGCCAGCTGCTCCGTTTATTGGGCAATCACGTACGGGTTACGCTCATTGGCTGTTACTGTCCCCAACTGGGAACGATCAGATGATTTCGCTGTAAGATTTTGCTCAATACCCATGTGCATTTTTCCGTGTGACTTTAATTTTGATGAACTCTTTTGGCCTTTTTGCCACCAGTTTCCGATCGCTTGTTACTTCTAGCCCATTCCTGTCTTTTTTTACAGGTAGTACGCATCAACCCGAAATTAGGCCTTATCTATGTGGCTGGTGCAACTCCAGGGCCGGTTCATTGTTACTCTTTAATGCACGATTGTTGGTTAGTCAATCGACGACGTGAACTGGATGCCAATCCACCACCAGTTCCCACGTGGTTCGGGACAGATGATGCGCTAACTATCGATTTTGAAAGTACTGACGATTTCGAAGCTGATTTGTATCACGATATAATCCACCGAAGTGATGATGTATCTATTGCTTACTCAAGAGACGACTCCTAATGCTCATTGTTCGCTTCTGCTATATTTTATTTAACGACACTTGCCGATTTATGAAAAATTGGATGTCACTTTTATTCTAATGGGTCCACTCCAACGGCTCATTGTCAGTTTTTTTTTGGGAGACGTGTGCGCCTGAATCTATGCATTCATAGCGATGGCTTCCCAGCCATGTTGAATATAACGAGTCAGTATGCATCAGTAGACTTAGGTGAAGTGCAGAAAGTACATCATTCGAAGACCACACTCCCTTCCGTGGACTTAATTTCGTGTTCACATATACGGTGTGCATGATAAGGCATCAGTCAGTGGCTCATTACTAAACCTCAGCGTCCTTCATGGATAGTGAGCTAGCATTTCCTTCCCGTTGTATGAATTGATTCATACGGCGAAATCAATTGTTTGGATACCACTGAACAGTCGTCAGATCAGTGTAAACGTAGTTGAAAACAGTCCCGAATGGATGCGGCCCTACAGTTTTTGTGTAGTGTATCATGGTCAGCCACATTTAGGCCTCCAGTTTTTCTCAAGTGGAAGGAAAAAGGCTAGGATACCCGAATTTAAAAAGTTGACAATTCAAGGACACAATTTTGTGGACGGTCATGTTGAGGGTACCAACTTCGGATAGGGGAACACCGTATTTATTCTTGCTGAAGTACTGGTGAGTTCAAAATTACGTCGACCTTTTTTGAAAGTGTGCTCGGACATCCAGTGAACACGTGATTACAGGGTTTTCTGGCGTTCTTGCTTATGCGTTTTATCCACACTAACCTAAAGCAATGCACTGAGGAGATATGGCAACGTCCAACGAACGGTTGGCGGTCATCATCGGTTCTATTTAGGCTGATTCCAGTGGTGGAATGAGCCAGTTGAATGTATGTCGTGGGTTGCACTTCTCTACCACAGGTGATCACAGGCGGCAATGCCACTTGCAGGCTACTTTATCCAAATCCAATGAACGCAGACTAAATGATGGTTAACTGCTTGAGGTCGTGGTGTGAAAAGCTATCCTTAATCAAATCCTATATTGATTGCGCTCACTTCCATTTATCGCGTGGGTTGCCTCTACCACAGGTGATCACAGGCGGCAATGCCACTTGCAGGCTGCTTTATCCAAATCCAATGAACGCAGACTAAATGATGGTTAACTGCTTGAGGTCGTGGTGTGAAAAGCTATCCTTAATCAAATCCTATATTGATTGCGCTCACTTCCATTTATCGTCTGTGCATAGAACATTCGTATACAGTTGTCTCGGTTTCACCTTGCACCCAGTTGGCTCACTTACGAATAAAGCCAAGTAACACGCCTAAAGGCTGTCATCGAAAAGGTACCAATCAAACGTTGACAAACTGAAAAAAGTAACAAAGGGAACGGGGATGACTTGCGAATGGACAGGAAGTTCCAACCCAGAACAACATATCTGCCAGCTGATCCGTTCCATCTAACTTACAGGCCTTGGAAGGTTTAACGATAAACGAACAGATGAAGTAGGAAAGACCCTGTTTGTGATCTCATATACGTGATCCAATCCGCTGAAAACAGCACAGACGAGGCTGTGCGCGCATAGCAGGTCACCTATTTACAATCTGTCGTACCACTTTGGTAGAAGGACGGATTTTTCGGAAGGAAATTCTTCCTGATTGAATCAGATCTTTAGCTTGTATATCTCGACTCTCAAATTGAAAGATCCTCCGAGTTGGAAGCTTCCCGTTCCTGCTATCTCTAATGACGGGATTGAGAAACTTGGTTGGGCTTCGTTCGACCCATCTAGCCTATCGATCATCATCCCTATCTGCGAAATTGGCGGTTGCCCATTTCCGTTTTCACGAAGTTGTTGAGTCGAGATGGCTCAGTGGTTAGAGCACGAATTTACTGCCCGTAAGGTCCGTGATTCGAACCCGACCTCTGCATCTCGATTTCCCCTGTCTAGGCTTGGGTGACCTGGCAGAATCCAATTCCTCGTGCTTCCTTCGGGTGGCATGGCAGCTAAGCACCTTATTATCAAGCTGTTGGTAGATCTCTTTCATGTGCGGACTTTGACGAACGTGGGAAGACCGGTCGAACAACGGGGGGGAATTCGTTCTGGTTTTAACTGTTCGGCGGAAGAGATATTTACCAGAGGTCAACTGTTTCCACCCTGATTTTCTGAAACCTGCCTTTCTTTTGGGCTACCCAGACTACTCTGTTCAACCGTTTGCTAAGTGACTCTTTACGTTAACTTGTAAAGTAGGGCCAGTGTTTTTGTCCAGCAGGTCCCGAATTTCAGGTAAGGCTTTCCTCGGGTTTCCTGATATGGATATTTTTCAATTTTTTGGTCGACGATATAAGGGCGCTCAATGGCTCCAAATCCATTACTGAGGGCTTCTCTCTAATCATCGGACGCTGCTATACTCCGTTTCTCAACCGGATATGTGCAAGCGGCGTTGTTTCTTAGAAATGAGTTTAGGTCTGTAGACGGCGTACTTTCCAGTTTTGCAGTACAAGATTATGCTACGAGACCAAATTGGGACTAGCTGGATCCTCCATGTTGTGGTAAATGTGCTTTAAACAGTCCACAAATCTTTCCACTCCAAGAGTTTATCCTATGATTCATGCTGTGGTTAAGGCAGCCCATTGAGCAAGCCCCTACTTTGAGGAACTCTTTCAAATGTGGTTTCGAGATAGATGTTTTGTTTACAGCCTTTCTCTTCTAACCGGTCTGAAGACTAGTGCATAAGTTCGGGTTTCGCCTGCTCATGCATGTGTTATGTGATTTCCATAAGACCAAGTGGGTGAGATAGCAATAGGATGGAAACTAAACGTACATTTAGTTATGAATTTTGGGTCAAACACAGGCCGACTGTTCGATCTACCAGCTCGTATTATCCTAATCCAAGGGAATACCTGCCTTACACAACGGCTTTTGCGAATCCCTAACCGGGCTGGAAATGCAGGGATGGTGATTAGCTGATGTCATGGTCCCGAGTTAGGAAAGCTGTTGTACCACTTGGGGAGGTCGCTAGATGCAGACTAGGTGGCTAGGGGTAGGCGATAACTCTCATCAATTGTGGTGTTACAGTATCATGTTGCGGTGGTTGGTGAGTGTGAGATACGTCTCACTTTCTCGTAGCACCATTTATTGGTGTAGATTTCCTCCTGTAAGTGAAGTCAATCTATGCTGAAAAGCCGAAAAGCACTGTACAGCTGTTTCTTGTTGAGAACTGTTGAGCTGTGCGCTTCTCGCGAAACATCCTGTGACCACATGATGTGGATACCGTGAGTGAAGGATGAGCGGCGCAAAATACCAAGTGCGAGTTAACCACACTGCTGATCAACCACCCGTGGCCGAACTGTCAGATATTCAAACTACTATGCGGAAGGTCCCGGTTTCCGAACTCCTTGAGGTTTCGTGAGATACGCATTGTTGCTCATCCCCAACAAGAATGAAACAGCTGTACAGTGCTTCTCGACTTTTCAAAATAGACTGGCTTCGATTGCAGGACGAAATCTCCATTACAATTCCTAGTCTCGCACTACGAACAACCATTTATTAGATCTTACCTTTTATGGCGTCTCACCCTTTTTTCGTTCTTGGTTATGCAACTCGATTCTAGCAACAGTCGTTATGTTCATGGTCATAATCTTGTTTTGGGGTGATGTCTAGTAGTTCAGTTATGTTAAGTCGACCACTCTTTAGGCTAGCTACTCAAACTCATAGGCTCAATGGTAAGGCTCACTCGGTAAGCAGACTCCGTCTTCTCTTCCCTTTTTACTCTAAAAAACTGTTTTAAGATTTAAGCAAAGAATCTGTATCCAAAAGTTCCCGTTTGGTCTGCAGGTGCTCTTCTCGCTGTGTGAACTCTATTGGACAGTATATCATCTCCTGACATCCGGGTCTTCAGATGGCTCGCCGTCTACTTGTTGGAATATCCCTCGGGTCGGTTGTGTCCTGCACAATTCTCACGTTGTCTTCAATCTTACTTGCTTACGCAGTAACTTCGGTGCAACCTGAGGCGTATATGGATGAAATCTTCCACGTGCGACAGTCATTATCCTATTTGAGTGGCAACTGGTCCTCATGGGACAATAAAATTACCACCCCTCCTGGAACTCCGATGCTTCAGTGCTTTCGTTTCCACTCTCACCCACCATGTTTTGTCTTTGATCATTCCACAACTTACCGGTAAGCATTCGCTAATGCTGAGTCTAGTCTTGAGCACCAATCCGGTCCTTTTTTTCTTCTCAGCAATGTACTACACAGATCAGTGTGCTCTCTTTTTCCTGCTTGCCACTGTGTATTTTTCACTGCGGGGTTGGCGTTCCCCAAGTGCCATTGCATGTGCTTGTGGGATCGCTGTTCGTCAAACTAACGTGGTCTGGTTGCTATTCAGCCTAGGTGTTATAGCATCCAATCATGTTGGAGAGGTGCTGTTTGACAACCAAAAGTCCGCAAATGCCTCCACTTGGATCAAAAGGTTATTTCACTCTCTTGCTAGACAGCCTTGGAAATTCGTCTACACGGCGCTCGTCGGCTGTTTAACCTGCTACTGTCACTTGTTTGTTGCTCTCCTGTTTGTCCTGTTCGTGTTTTGGAACGGAGGCATAGTCCTCGGCGATAGAAGTGCACATCAGGCGGTTTTACACATCCCACAACTATGGTACTTTTGCGTGTTTTGCTCTGCCTGCACACCCATCAGTTTCGGCTTTTTCGTACTCCGATGTTTAGAACGTTACCGACGTTTGGCTCTCAGGACGACACTCAAGTTTGTGGTATATGTGTGCTTGTTTTTCATTCTTGTTTGTTTTATAATACTCACACTAGCGCAGCTCTCTTTTGTTCACCCCTACTTACTGGCCGATAATCGACACTACACTTTCTATATCTGGCGGCGTGTCATCAACCGAACTCCTCTGGTGCACTATAGCTTTTCAGTTGTCTACGCGCTTTGTTTTGTTTACTGGTTGTCTCGATTATTCCCTTCGCGTGCAATGCCCTTCCAAGTGTTTGTTACACACACGGCCATAGTGCTGTGTACGTGTGCATGTCTTATCCCCGCACATCTTTTGGAATTTCGTTATTTCCTTCTTCCCTCCCTAATTTGGCGGCTTTATAGTTCAGAAAAACCCTCTTATTTATTGATTGAGCTTGTTTTGAACTCTGTTGTCATTGCTATTACGGTCTATCTGTTCCTTGCAAAACCTTTCTATTGGGCTACCGAACCCGGAGTTCTCCAGAGGTTCATGTGGTGATACGTACATGTCCTGTTCTGCTTGTTGTACCGATCCCTTATTTAATGAATGAACTATAAAACTTTGTAACTTGGTTCATGGATTTAATGAAATGTGGTATCTTTTAGCGTTTTTTCCCAAACCATTGACCTATATGGCTACTTGACGTTGCTGGTCGACCAACGGATCGTTACATTTACAGATTGATTGGCCAACATGCACTCGAGCAATTCTGAATGACTGTGCATTGAATTGATATTGGTTCTGGTCAAGGCGGTTTTATCTGGTCTCCTCGCCGAAGTTCCTACTTCGAGCAGTTGTGGTCTCGTCCAATTCTGTGAGACAATATCAATCTTTATTTGTGCATCCGTTTGCATCCGTTAGTTATATCGAACCAAGTTTATCTCCTAACAAGATGTCCACTTCCCCACTGGAGGTGTGTCGAACCAAGTTTGTCTCCTAACAAGATGTCCACTTCCTCACTGGTACTCAATGTTGTTCTCCCTGAGGAGAAGGGTCAGTAGAGATATGGTCAACATGCAACTGTGTGTAATTCTAATTCCGTTCAGCTGTAGCACCATTTCAGTACCTAACTGTCACGCCACCCGAATAAAGCACGAGGGATGGAATACTGTCAGGCTGCCCTAGCTTAGTCAGGGGAATTCGAGACGCGGTCGGGTTTGAACCACGGACCTTTCAGTTAGTAAATTCGCGCTCTGACCACTGAGCCATCTCTACTTCACTCAGTTGTGAATGCAATTACGGGGAGAACTCGAGGTTTTGGCCCGCATTTTCTCGCCTAGGAGAGGAAACCAACATAATCGTGTAATCACATCACTTTGCATTGAGGAGACTTGGATTTTACTCACCTAACTGTCGGGGGCATCTGTTGCGAAAATCAGTATAGTAATTGAAATTATTATCGACTGTGGTTTATGGGGATCCTGAACCAAATTGTTCGGTGTCTTCTTTGTGGTAGCATGCCCAACTTTTTTGGTGCCAGACATATAAATACGGTAGATTCAAGATCCCTCGTTTGCTTTGAGAAAATAGTATTTTAAAAGGCCACTTTCCAAGCTAGGATTTCATGGACCTTTAATTGCGCGTTGGTTTTGGAAGCGGCGAAAACGTAAGCTTCGGTAAGCGATTGCTACATGCATGTGAGATTAGGACCACGTGCTTTGCGCGTGAGGTGCACTTCTTGTGGGCTAGTCCCACCTGATAGAGATAAGGACTGCTTCACCCTCATCAGCGATGCTCAATGGCTGACCTTGTGGAGTGTCACTCTAAAGGAAATCCATCACACCGCCTTACTTCTATCCGGTCGTGAATTTCCTCGTGTGTCTATAAAAATCCGGACAATTCCTGATCTTAGAAGGGTTCTTGGCTTATGCCAGATGTATTTATCCTCCTCCGCATCTTAGACATGCATCTTTGGTGTAATTCGGTTCCAGATTGAGACTCATATGGACCTTCGAAATATCAACCAGCAATTGTGTTGCGGGCACTACGCAACTCTCTACTTTTAGCCACAACCTTTCCCATTGAGAGTGGAGCGCAATTCGTTTGGCGCAGTTTCAGTTTTTATTGTCGATAATACTTGTGTAGATAGCCTACCAAGTTGAGAAGCGTATGCCAGTCGATATATCGAAAGAACTCAAGGGTCTAAGGCCCTAAAATGATTGGCTGTTTACCAAGACCTGTCGCGCCTTTTGAAGTGGTGTTTGAGCTTATCTACGACCAAACAAAGCGTAACCATTTTGCTAGTCGTCTGTGTGTTATGGGTTTTCAAATTAACATGTGGTTCCCTGTCATTCACAAATCTCTCTGCTTGTTTCCTGTAACTTTTAGGTTATTGCTTGAACTTCTTCGGTGTGTCTGTATCCTTGCCTTCTTTTGGTCTTCCCTGTAACCTCCTTTCTGCCTTATCCAGGTTTCAGTCCTGATGCTGATGGTCTGACTTTTCTAAGCGGGCTGCCGGAAACGTTTGATGGTGATCGGAAAACTTTTTTCCAACTTGTTGCTCTCGCAGTCAGTAGTCTAGTTTGTCTGAAACCTGGTCCGATTCTGTGGAAGCGTGACTCCTCCGTCGTTCGACCTAGTTCCTATGGAAATGGAGCTTTTTGAAGACTGGTTGAATGGTGGTGTGGATTGGCCCCATCCAGGTCGAAACCTTTTGCTTTTATCATCGCACATGGACCAATACGGACGAGGTCTGGTCAGCCGAACTTCCATTTCGCCAGGCGACTGTTGTTTGGCAATACCAAGCAATGATTTCAAGGTTGTCCTCACCCCATTTCGTTGTGCTAACATGATGAACTTTTGTGGCTGTTTTCGACAGCTACAGATTTCAATCTCACTAAATCCCTTCGATGTACTGGTACTCTTCATTCATCATCTTATCAGACCTTGGCTTCCGAACTGTCCTCTAGCATCTATCTGGAAACCATACGTTTCTTTACTTCCATCTCACTACACTGATCCTACTTTTGTCCCGACTTCTAACGCCTGCCGAGGTATTTCTGCTGAACCCTTCTCGTTTCGGTCGCAGGATATACAAATCTCGATACAAAAGTCTTTAGAGCGTTTTCAATCCACGTATGATGCTTGCGGTCCGTTGTTGTCCGCCTCGGCCTCATCACTGTCGAACACGGCCCCAGCCACTGTCGAATTCGCATGGGCTTGGTCGACGGTCAACTCGCGTTGTGTTTATTGTCAACTACACGAAACCTGCTCCCCTCCCATATCCACTTTCATCAGTTCAATGGCGACGTTTCTTCAAGTTCCCGTGGAGCAGTACTGTGAGCGAATAAAGCTTATTCCGGATAGATATTCCGACACTGCTTTGATCCCATTTTTTGACTTTCTGAATCACTGTCCACTTGTGGATAGCAAACTTGAAGTAGACCGAAAGGGAGAGGCTATCCAACTGTTTGTACAGCAGTCTTTCGGCACTGGGGAACAGGTGAGATCCAAATTTTTCGTGTTAGATCTATATTTCATTCTGATATCGCTGTAGTGCGTGTACTTGATCCTGCATTGAAATGAATATGTACAGGAGTTAGGCAATGAACGCATTTGGAAATGTCCTGTGGTGGATTCCGTACTCTGTAGGCAAGGACTACCAAATCGTGCTGCTCCCACTTTGAGCAGAATAGCATGCGGATTATTACTAGGATATTCTTACTACATACACGTCGATAGTGTTTTACATTTTCACACCTCCAGAGCATGTGTTGTTGTACAAGTCTGTATTTTGAAGACGGGAATCGGTCATTCCGACTTGCAGTATAAACCAATTAGTGTTGTCAGTCTGAAGAAAGAATATCAGCATTTCTCCCAACTTGGAGGCCGGTTGTGACAGTTAGAAGGTTCAAATTTTTGGTCTTTACACCTTGGCGGCTATGTGACTCATAAATTTTCGATAATTTGATATGGCAGAATAGCCAAATAGTTGCATTATGACTGCGTCAGCTGTGGATAGAATTCGTACACAGTAACACAGAGAATCGATGTGGAGAACCTCACCGTTGTTGACGTTACAGGGGTGTGACTTTTTGTGTTTCCTCCGTAAGATTACATTGCGCCCAGCTGTAACACCCTTCCGGTGCCTAGCTGCCTTGCTACTCGAAGGAAGCACGTGGGCTAGAATACTGCCAGGTTGCCCAAGCCTAGACAGGGGAAGTCGAGAGGCAGAGGTCGGGTTCGGACCACGACCCTTCCGGTCAGTAAATTCGTGTTCTAACCACTTGAGCTGTCTCGCTCTCTCCGTAATCCACTGAAGGCTGTTCGTTTAACACTCATAGAGCTAGGGGATAAACGTCACTCTAACACAGTTTCCAAGTACTCCAGGTTTGAGGTTGGAATATGTGGCAGCATGTTCAGTGAAGGTTTCAAAACTGCTTGGTGGTCGAGTTTGGATCAGAGATTTAGGCTGTGGGCCACAATCGTCCTCCTCTCTACGTTTGAGCGCCGTGATAACATCCTAGCCTACATAACTAAGAATTGTACGAATTCTAACAATTTCATTTCACGGCAGCCGTCGCGTAGTCGCCCTACTTGATGCATACAGCAGAGCGGATAAGCGAAAACAGATTCCCGCTTACACCCGTCATTCCTCAGTATTCTCAACTCCTTTCTTGTCTCATTTCACCGTCAAGGTTCAGTATATCCCAGCCTTAAGCAAACCAGTTTTGCCTTCCAAATAGTGATTAATGATGTGCCACCGCTCACGTTCGCTTCTCAGACCGTCGTCTTCTGTATCTATCGTCACATTTAATATCCAACTCTGAAGCAAACCGATTGTCACCAAACTTTTTCGATAACGATGACTACTCCATCGGTTCCCAGTATTTTTCACCTTAGTGAACAGCCAGCATCCTATACTTTTCATACTATTGATAGATATTTGCTGCGAATCTGAAATGCTTACGCACTATCCAAATGCGCGTATCAACTCATCGTTATTTATATGCCATCGCCCACGAAGTTCTGCATCTACTACAGCGGTTTGCGCCAGGGCCTACTTAGCTGAGGCTTCCTTACTGAGTGACGGTAAATAAACGCCTTTGTGTTGTTCGTTTATCGACTTTCATAACCCTACGTACTAGTAGGAATAATACCCGTTCTTTGTTTGTTGTTTTCGCACATGCACCGTCCAAATCTAGGCCTGACTTTTTATCAGAAACTAACCACTCCAAATTCAGCACGAAGAGTTCAGTCATTGTCCTTTTGTTTGTTGTTTTCGCACATGCACCGGCCAAATCTAGCCCCGACTTTTTATCAGAAACTAACCACTCTCCAAATCCAGCACGAAGAGTTCAGTCATTGTCCTTTTGACCGGTGATCTTAATATACGAGTAAGACGTCTCAGTTCATCGGAGGCGTGACTTGATAAACTGTTCAACTTGAGGCGTAATGACAATGTTAGAAGTCTTTTTTGGCTTTGCTAAGATCACCGATTGCTCTCCGGTAATAATGGGTTCAGATGCAAGTGCTACCTGCCCAGCCCCATGCTGATGGTTCAACAGGTAGTCGAATTGACGGCACAGCCACTGGCACCCGGTGGCAAGGATCTCGATCATTCTGAACCACTCACGTCGACTGAAGTTGTGCTCTCTTCTGGTGTGATCTTCCAACTTCTTGTTGGAGAGGGGGCTAAGTAATGAACTCTCTGACTCACAAGTTAACCATACGAGGGTGTAGCGACCCAGTCACCCACATACTTGACTGTTCAAATCACAGTCGCTCACTGGATCGCGAGGCTTGTCTTTTTTCTCATACGCACAAACACGTCGCATTAAGCTGACATATCAGACACCGGTTGTCTGCACCTCCTAGTCAGCGCAGCAACCACTCATGTGCCGACGCGCCCACGTATACGCACTGGGACCTACATAAAGGGAAACCGAACCCAGTCAGGACACGCAGGGAGCGCGCAGGGAGCAGGATGTCAACCTCTCCACAAGTCCACGGACAACCATGGAGTACGTGTACCAGTCTAACTGCGGAGAACAAACACGTTTCCGCCGTCCGGACTTCCACCAAGGGACTCTCATATACGATAAGTCCCCTTTTTGACTTGCTCCCATTCTCGCACCGTATTCATTTTTATACGTATCGCAACCATGCTAAAAACTTCTATTAGTGCACATACACCTGATTTGTATTATGGCTATCACCAGCTTTGCACTAATAAGGGCACACCTCAGTAGAGGGTAAATTCGTTCTCCTCTGAAATCGTTTCAGTGCCCAGCCTGAAGGTTTATCCAATCTGTAGAAGTTTGTTTGCCCAAGTACGATGTCTATCCACTGGCTGTATTTGGCCATTAGCAGTCTGCACTAACCTTACGGCTACGATGGCTGTCCACATATCTCCAGAGCAGTCGGCTCCAATTGCTAATATGGCGCTTGTTCACACAGTGACTCTAAGCTCGATCAGCTATCTCCCGTTGAATGCTTCAGTGCATAACACTATAAGGACTTTTTAGGAGCACTACCAGGGGATAAGGAAAAGTGCATGGTCTTGTTTGGCTTCATGTATTCTTTTTGACCTCAAGGATCCAGGCAGAACATATGATGCTTTCAGTTGAGGATTACATTTGTCCGACGATGTGCGATGAAGAACATGTGATTTTTGTTTCACCAGGAAAAGGGTGAGGTTCATTCAGGTGGATCATTCCGATCCGGCTGAAAGTCAGCGGAACGCAATTAGGAAACGCTATCGAAATGAAAGGTGCCCTCGAAGGTCGACAGAATAACAGCGCAAAGAGGGTGATTGCTATGGGCAACGCCCTGTTTACAGTGTCACGGGATGTCGGCTTCTATTATTCCACCATTCTAGTCGCATTGGTTAGAACATTCGAGTTCTCTGTTGTTCACTTCTCACTGGTGGATGTAGCGCAAATGTAAGTGGGAAACGTAAGACTTTATCGCACACCTCCCAGAAACGAGGGCATCAGGAGGGTCCCTGGTAATTAGATTGTTCGGAGAGTTGTGGCTGACAAGGCATGCCATTTAGAACCTTTCATTGACCCCTCGTCAGACACCCTAAAGAGTGTTCTTCATGGGGGGAGGGAGTTACTTATTCGTTTTGTCTTTGGAAGAGACGGTACTATACTTGTTGGCTTGCTGCATGCCGAATACTTGAACCATCGTATACGCATGAGCGTAAAATGAAGCGCGCCAACTTATCAGTTCGTAAGAAAATTTCACATTCCTTTCGAACATCGTTCAAACTGAAACATTTGATGGCCTCTATGCGGTACAGTCAGTTGAAGGGAATCGCGAACAAGCTGTCCAGAATTCAGTTGGGTCTCTTCCTACAGCAAATCTACTTTTCAAATGAGTATTCGCCAGTGGAGTCCAGTTTGGTATTAAGGTTGGTAGAAACTCGGCGATTACACCCATTCACTGAGCCCCAAGGAGATTTAAACTGGTTCCTGACCGTTGGGGGTGTCTGTGCGTTGTCACGTGTGACACGAGTTGGATGAAGGAATAACTTACCGCTGCGATCTATGAGCTTGTTTATGGCGCATGTAATACTGTTGAACTCTGCTAAGTCTGCGACTTCAATAGTCCTGTCGAATCCAGTTACCAGCTTGACATACGTTGACCACCAATGAACTGGGCTGAGCTCATCTGACTTGTAGGGTATTTTGCTGACCATAAATCGTGCTCTCAGTTCTCACCTATGTTTGGTAGCAATGGGATTGAAACTCCACCGTGAGCACCCATCCTGTAAATAACTTGTGTATTGTGACACTGCATTCAATCACCAATTTGTTCTTTAATTTGGTCTTCATGGGTCATTAGGGACCAGCCTCATGTGCAAGCTCATGAACTTTGGTTATATCTGTCAATTAGTCGCTTTTGACGTAACGAAACAATACGGTTTACTGTATTTTTTATCTTTTAGGACAAATGAAGCATTTGTTAGAAATTTTGTAATTCCCTCAAGCGGATCGAATGCCCTATAGTTAAAATACAACGAGGGCTTATCAAAATTTTCCTCTCTGTTATTATGTTCTTTATACCAATGTATTTGGAAATATTGCACATAATTTTACGGATTTCACCTCTTCGAGACTCCATTTTCCCACTTCAGACAATGTAATTTTGTTGTTGTCTTTATTGTTACAGGTGCTGATTAACTACGGACCCCACGACAATCTTACCTTGTTCATCGAATACGGCTTCAGTCTTCTTCCGTATGAAAATCCGCATAATGCGGTGTACCCGAGCAACATTGACTTGCTTCAGTTCTTTACGTCAGAGTATTACCATAGCGTTGCGCAGCCAACATCGACTTCTACAATCAAATGGGAGCCACAACTCTGCTTGATTTTACATGACGTATTGGAACAGCTAGGTCTTCCTCAGGCTTCTTTGTCTACCAGCCCCGTTACATGGCCCAGCCTTTGCTTCTCGTTTGAGGGCGCGTCCTTTCATTTGTCTCTCCTATCATATTGTGTTCATCACGCTGTGCTTTCTGGGTGCAGATATTCGGAGCTTCCATCTTCCCTGAGTGCTAGTCATTCCATTTTTAGCCTACCTGAGCAAGAAGTATCATCTGTCGTACAAAAGCCTCTGAACAATCTAGCCAAGCAGTTACTTCGTGACACAACTTTGGATGAACAGCAGCTTCAATCTCTGGTTTTAAAGATCGATTCTTCCAGAGAGATGGTTATTCTTCGTCAGTGTTATGATGAGTTTAAGAAAGTCCTATTGTCTAGACGGTCTGTTCTGGAAAATTTCATCACGTGACTTTCCTCTCGTGTTGTTTGAAATAACTATGGTATTGAAATCCGCATTTCCTGACGATCGTTTCAGCTTTCTTGCTTTAAAGAGACTTTCTTGTGAGAGAAGGCGAGTAGGTTTCACTGTTGCTGAGGGTGGGCGATCGGTGACCAGAGCTGTGCATATCGCGACTCATTGTTGGTTTAAGTGACGATCTTCTCAAACATGCTGTGGAACCCTTTCGATGCATGACTGTCACGCAGCACGGGGGCTGCAGTACTGCCGGGTTGCCTAAGCCTAGACAAGAGCAGTCGATAATTAGCTGAGACAAGCGGATATTTCTTCATTTATAATTGTTTCCTCGGTTCTTTGAAGCAGCGACAACCGCGCGTTGTCTCAAAGTTTTTATTTTTGGATCTGCCTCTTTGTCCCGTTGTCTCCAAACACTGGAGACGTGAGGTGATACAAAATCTGCTTCTAAAGAAACAACTCTTTCTCACAACACGTTCACTCAAAATAATTGTTTAACCTACTTCGGGATGATGATGGCCACTGTCGCTGATTGATTGAAAGGTTTCGTTCACCCAACTGCTTTTTCGTCCCCGTTCATCTGACTCCCACTTTTCGGCGCGCTACCTGAGAACGTTTAGATTTTGTTCAGGTCATAGGGAGCGACAGTACGCTTGCGTCGGGATACTCAGCTAACCTCTCGAACAAACTTCCACGGATGAATCGTTGACCTTCACTATTCCTGGATTTACCGTCCTTTTCAGGTTATGTGCCCCATGTTTTCTGTCACGGAACTGATGAGCTAGACAGTCTCATGAAACTTCACTCCAAACACCAGGACATCAAAGTGATCCGAGCGAGTATGACTAGGTAAATGTCATTTGACAGTGTCAGTGAGGTTATCGATGTATTTGCAAGTGCGGTCAGCTTATTGTCGGAGGCAGTGCTGTAATAGCCATCATTTGGAGGTAATCTTTCTGTTTTTTAGTGAGGGAGAGGGGGATACTCACCATCGATTTGAGTTTGAAAATGCTTTGTGAGAATGTGAATTCTGTCGCTAATTCCATTGTGTCTGTGTGATAATGCGAGATGGCCCAAGTGGTTAGAGCGCGAATTTACTGACCGAAAGGTCCGCGGTTCGAAGCCGACCTCTGACTCTCTAGGCGTGGGCAACCTGGCAGTATCTTAGCCCTCGTGCAACCTTCGGGTGGCAAGACAGCTAGGCACCGAAAGATCCGCTGTCCTGATCGGTTTTTGAGTGATAATGCTTGCTATGGTATATATTCGGGAAGTCCCCATTTATAACGGTTTCTTTGGAACTTCAAAACCACGTTTATCACTATTCGATTCCACAAATACTCCGGGTTACTACTTGAAGGACGCCATGTACAGAACATTCCCTGGTCCCCCTACACGCGATAATTCTAGATAGAGAAACTCAAGCAGGGTTGGTTTTGCTCTTTCTTGCAACTTACAAAATTGTTTATCTACGAATGTTTCCAACTGTACGGTACTGTGTTGCAAAGTCAGTGTCCAATTTTGTTTTCAGCACACTTCGTAGCCTTGTACAAATAATAAGCTATTTGCGCAGTGCATGAGATTTGTAGGATCCGCTGTCCTTTGGTTTGCTGTTGTGTCGATCTTTTAAGATACGTCGCTTGGTTTCACTTGGAAGACACATCCACTTAACCGTATCCTAGACACAAAGGATGTCGTGATCGTCCGCTACAACTGTGATGAAAGCCAGAAGGCCCGCATCGTTCTGAACTTGGGTTTTGTGGCCTGTCGTAGACAATCATCTTACAAAGGGCTATGCAAATGGTTATCTGTTGTAGACGATTTCCAGTATTCCATTTATAGGCTGTTTAGTTTATTTCGCTTATATATCCTTTTCCAACAGCTTTTACACCGAGGAACTCCCGCCATTCTCCATGTACTCCTCTCTTGGTATCAAAATACAATTCGTCCGAGATCTGACCTTTTCTTTTTCTCAATGGGACCTTAGTGCTTGGCATTAAAAAAGGATGCTGAGGTCGACTTCTCACAAGTCGCTTTGTCCCGGCTAAGACTCAGCAGATAGGTTGGTGTGCGAAAATCGGTCCCCACCTTATTACCAGTTCGCACTGTCAACCCCAAGATCATCATCACGGCAAATATCAACTCTGGGCTTGATCATTATCCTATCCTCGTTGAGGATGGGTGACCAGTTAGGATAAGCCCCAAGTTGGTGGACACTGACAAAACCAAGCTAACGTGATTTGCGTACTTTAGACAAGTAGTCTGTTATACCTCTAACGTGATTTTCTTTTCTGGTTTCAGCTCACATTTCTGGATAGATTCTACTCCTCTTGTTTAATTTTTGGAGCCACTCGTATTTGATTCGGTCCAACAATGACAGAAAGGAAGGTGCTCAATGTAAGTATCTCACTTTTTCTTACGCCCCCATTTCTTGTACCCATAGAAATATTTTCCTCCAGACTATGACCCGTCCAAGATTCCGCGCATGCTACGCCCCCATTTCTTCTACCAAAGAAATATTTCCCTCCAGACTATGACCCGTCCAAGATTCCGCGCATGCGTCGCGGCGACAAACGTAGGCAGTTCAATATACGTACCATGGCTCCATTCAATATGAGGTCTGTCACCTTCCGTATTTCTCCTAATCGATGTCTGTTCTAGGTGTCTCACATGCAACGGATACATATACAAGGCGAAGAAGTTCAACTCTCGAATGGAGGCTGCTGAGAATGTGGACTATCTCGGCTTACGACACTATCGATTCTATATTCGTTGTCCAAGCTGTTGTGCAGAAATCATCTGGAGGGTAGTATTTTTCAGTCTAGTAGGTTTATTGGTGTTCTTTTCAGACTGACCTAGAAAGTGGGGATTACGTTCTCGAAGGTGGAGCAAAACGAAACTTCGAAGCACTGAAAACCGCTGAAGAATTGGAGGCCAAGCGACAAGCCGAAGAAGAAGAGGAGCTCGCCAACAATCCAATGAAGATGTTGGAAAAGCGAACGGATCAAAGCAAACAGGAAATGGAAATGGTCGAAGTGATTGAAGATTTGAAGCAGTTGAACGAACGACTAGCTGGCATGGATACGGACCATCTGGTTCTGCGTAAGCTGTGGCAAGAGGAAGAAGCCCAGCGGAAGGCTGAGGAAGAAGCAGATGAACAGCTGATTAAGTATGTTCAATCCTTGTATTCATATTTTCTATAATCTTTACAGAGAACTGCTTGCTGAGCGTTCTGCGCCCGTCACCACTGGATCAGATTTACCATCTAGCACGAACCATACCCCAAGTGTCCCGGATCTGATCTCTCCCAAACCGTCTAAGTCCACCACTCTTCCAAATATGCAAAAGGTATGTACGTTCACAGCATCCTGTTCCGTGAAGTTTGCCTTCATTTTTATCAATACTCTGGCTGTATGTCAAATCTAAAACATCCTGAACGCGTACCCCCTAACTGGTGGAGAACCGCGAATTAAGTCACGAACAGATTCTCTTTCATCGTCTTTCTTGGTCTTCGGGGATGCGATTGTTTAGTTGATGTGTCTGCTGTACGGCGACAAGTCCGGTCTGTTTGATAACGGTCACGTCACAGCCACGATTACCCCATTAGTAGGACCTTTACAGGTTACCAACCGCCCAAACGTGCCCGATTGTCGTGCTTAGCAGTCGGTGCACCTCACATGCGGCCTGTGTAGTTGTTTAATAGTTATGTGTCCTGTCAGTGAGACTAATTTATGCTGAGCAGTTCGGAAGCACTGTATAGCTGTTTTATCCTTGTTGGAAAGCACCAGCAATGCGCATCTCACCAAACTCGGAAAGTGAAAGCTAATCACACTGCTAATCAGCCGCTTGTGGGCAAACCTTTTGAACTACTGGTCGGAAGGTGCAGGTTCGAAAATCTCTGAGTTTCGTGAGACGTGCACTGTTGATGATCCCCAACAAGGATGAAACAGTTGTACAACGCTTCCCGACTTTTAAACGTAGATTGGCTTCACTGACTGGACGAAATCCGTAGTTAACGCTACAACATCATCTGTTTTTCTTGTTCTTATGGCTTTTTCATGCCACTAAGTTACAAACGACGCTTCTCGTTTCATACGTTCCTCAGAATTTCGGCTGTTGTAATGAAAAACATCCGAAAAAGGCACATTCTCGTGGCAGTTCAGCCAGAAATGAACAAAGTAGAAGGGTGCTTCTACACTCGAATAATTTCTCGGATTGAGGTATTAATCGGGCTAAAACCTTGACTAAAACCAGTTTTCCGAGTCCACCACCAAACCTAGTGGTACCTCAGACTCGTGATTTTACGAATCATACGATAACCGCACATCGATTATTTCGATTTTTTCCGCTTAAAGTCCTCAGTTGCCTCATCCTGTGGAGCTCAGGAAGTAAGGGTACCTCATACTGAACAATATACATGCAAACTGTCCGTTGGGCCGGTTTGAGCTTTGTCGACTTGCCTGCTTCTAGGTTGGATCACGATACCAATAGTCAAGTAGGATCCACTCTTATTTTCATCATCAATATCATAGGGGTATTTTCAAAGGTCTCTAGTGAAAAAGAGCATCTTGAGTTGGACGATCTAGACTGTAACAGGCAGCACAAGCTCGAGTGACAGTAGCCTTCTCTTGCATCTGGTAATGCCCTACACGGTAACGTTTGCCTTCCATTGTTTTTCAGGGGCCACCGAGAAGCAACACTTACATGAAACGGCAGCTTCAAGGAGTGGTTCTTGTCAAAAGACCCGTTTCTGAAGTCGAAAACAAACCCAGCAATCTCTCTGGGAGCCGTTCGACAGTGTCCAGCTCAGAGACGGATGGGCCAACCAGTTCGAAAGTTCCAAAGGTCCTTTCAGCATCCTCTGGTGTATCGGAACCCTTGTCCACCGTATCCAATCCCCTCCCAGGAATAACCTATTCAGATGACAGTGATAGCAACTAATTTCGCCGGCCACTTATGTATATTACTGTTTGTAAATAGCATGCCAACTCGTTAGTGTTTCTGCTTCTCGGGGTTATGTGGTTTGGGTACGTGTGCAGTTTACTTATAAACCTGACTAACAAGGCTTTGGTGAATTGTACTCCACCAATCCGGCGCCATACCGAAGCCGTTGACAGCAAGTTCTAAGCCAATGCTCTTGTCTCCATCACTGCGGTCGACAATGTTGTGCATACAAAATTGTATATCCCCACTGGTTTGCGACTAGCGCCTCGCTCCCAACTAAATTATCCCGCAGTTCGTACCGTTTCCTAACGAATTTCATTCTCTTTGTTTTTCCATGCAAGCCTTTCCACTCATCTCACCTGATTGTTTTCCATCGCATCCCATAAAGCAAGGGTCGTGTTACACTGCATCTTTGGCTCGTGTTTTGTTACAAAAAAAAGCAAAGGGCGGCTAGTCTGTCGACAATTGAACAGATACTCTTCTGGATCTAAAACGAGTGTGGTGCACAAACTGCTTTTAAAGTTATCCTGTTTATTGTCACGCTTCTGTTAAAATTATGCTCTAGAAAAAGTCTGGGTGGTGCTGATTAAACCTGTGTTTATTGACAAACATGGCTTGTTGTGAAGGATTCGCCAAGGGGATGGGATGTAATGTGTCCACAGCTCCACCCTAAGCGGGCAATTGAGGCATCTACTTGCTCTGAAAACGCAAAGGTCACCATTGACTCTGACTGGAAACCCCTGTTTGACGTACTTATGATCATATTTTGAATAATCTCCTATTTGTATCATCCCTGAAGTGCGCGCAGTATGTTGAAGATAACCGTTCACTGCCAGTGGGTACCAGACCTTTTTCATCCCACTTATATCCGCTATGTAGGCTCTTTCTGTTGCGAAACGATGAGCCCATTCCGGTCTGCTGAACATAATGAATGGCCGATGGCATATGACCTTACTTGGCCGATTTCTTGGAATAAAACAGAGAAGGAGATGTGTTTGCCCTCCGCACTCCATTATCATTATCCTTGACAGCATCGCCCTGAGATAACACTGGCACCTCATTGCCATACAACCATGCCAATTTATGCCTATATTGTAAAGAAAAGAGGGGACCGAGAGCTAGCCTACCAAGAACATTCGAGGTGCCTCCACCTTCAGCCCCTAATCCGACAATGTGGATAGAAACTGATAACGTGAACGCCACGGACATAGGTAAGTCACCACATCGTGGTGTCTGCAGCCAACCACAGAAAAGATCATCTGGACCCCATCCTGGAAACCGAAATGCACCCAAACTCTTGGTAACATTCTTCGTTCCCTTCCGGCGTATTCTACTCTATCCGCCACTCCGAATTAGGCTTGGGAAACAGCGCTCTTCTCGGCATCTTCGACACATGGCCCAGCCATCTTACATTGTAGTGCATTCTTTTGAGTGAGTTACCTCCTTATCCAAAGGTCCGCTTTCTGATAAGCTTATTACGAATTCCGGTTTGCTCCAGCTACGGTTCTGGTACATATATGGTGGAAAAAACTTGAGATGTGTTAGATCCTCCACAGGATGTGACCCTATGTTGCAACTTTACAACAATACAGTGTGCATTGTAGTCTAATGCATACGTTCTTTGAAACCCAGTGCTGTGCGCGAATTGGCAAACGCTGTTTTGAGATTCGTGTCCTGACTTGGCAATTTGCGTGCAAAATCCACGTCATACACCGTTACACACCCACGTCCGCCAGCTAGACATCCAAAAATCTTGCATCTACTTTAGCGTCTCATGCTAGTGGTACATTAGTGCATCTAGCCATTCCTAAAGTAAGGTTTTTCGTCAACAGATTATGCATTTGAATGACCGGGGTTCTGAGTAGTCGCGAGGTAGCGAATAAATTCGTCCAGCTGTGAAACCCTTTCGGTGCGTATATGCCACCCTACCCGAACTAAGTACGAGGACTGAGATACTGTCAGGTTGCTCGAGTGTAAACGGGATCAATCAAGATTCCGGGGTTGGATTCGAACCACGGACTTTCCGAATAGTAAGCTCGCTTCTTAACCACTGATTTCTCTCGGGCTGGAGGCAACGTGTAGGAGTGTTTTTCTACTTCTGCGTCTTCTCGAGTTACAACTTTACGGTTGTATTGTTGGTCTGTAGTTGTCTTTGATCAATCTCAGAGCACTGATCGAAGTGCAACACACTTGTTCGACAACCTCGTCTCCAATTCAACAATTAGGTGTGTCGTTTGCAGGTCACACTTGAATTTGTTGCTAATCCATAGCACATGAGGAACTCGTAGGTCTATGAAAGGTCCACAATCGTTACAAATAATAATGACAACGGGATTTTTCGAGCAGTTGGTTGTCTTAATCACTCTGTTAAGTCGCTTCTAACGGCTTCTCTTACTGAATCCGATTCCAAAAGATTGAGAATTCCGTTTAGTATTGGTTTCAGTCACCGTCACCACGTTCTATGTTGCTGCGCACTGGGTATCTGAAGCAGTCATGACGGTACGAATGGCATGTCGTGCTCAGCAAGAACTACAACGAAAGGACGTAACGACTAACGTCCGAGGAGGTACATGCGCCACTCTCTCTGGCTTCCGGAGAGAGATGTATTTAGTCGATTATGAGTAGTGTGGTTTTCGCATCACAAGGCAACGTCGGGTGATCCATGAGCAACCCTACTGGAGATTTGTCAAGGTCCAAAAGTTCACTGAAAGTACGGAAACTCTTCGCCGGAAAAAATTGTCACTTTTTTATTTTCAGTCAGTTTGAAGCCCAAAGAATTAGATTCTCGAACAAGAACTGGTCCACCAAAATCAATGAGATGATGTAAATAAGTCGTACCGTACAGTTGTTTGCTTCTTTACGGTGTGATGCAGTTGTTCACCTAACAGAAACTTCTGACAGTTAAAACTTGATATTTATTTTGCCATTTTTATTGTCTATACACCTGGGGCGTTGCACCGTTTTGTACTCGAAATTACGGGAGAATGTAGTGCTCGTGATTTTTTCACTGAGTACACTTCACTTACATTACACCCCCATTCTTCTGATGTCCTTTATTACGTTGGATTCAGAACCTTCACTTACGGGTTTCCTTCTCTATTTTTGGCTAGAATAACTTTGTGTTGGTTGCGATCCATGAGGTCGCCAATCCCTTGACAAAATCAGTATCCAGTGCGCAAACTACACTAATTTGCAAGTCAATTTGGCTTTAACGAGCGATTCCACTGAATCACGGATGATCCTCTCGTTTAAGGTATCCTGTAGCTGATTGCAAGGTGTTCCAGTCCATACGATCTTCGAGATACCACAGAAGGTTTTTGTGACGGAACACATTGCTCATAAAGTTGCTGAAAACTCTGAAAATCTGTAAACTTTCGTGTGTCTGATTCGAAGAACACAATATGGTTGTTTCTGCATGATATTTGTGTTTATTGTGGCTCGAACAAAATGCATGAATTGAACACTGATGACTAGTATAAAATAGCATAGCCAAACTATAAATTTTCGTATCCGTATCGAAATAGAAAGCCCAGTTGCTTCGTCCCACTGTGGAGGAAATTCTTTCTTCTTTTCTATAAGAATGAAGATGTTTAGATGTCCGTCAACTTTTCGGTTTAAAAGTTAAGTCTCAGTGTATAAACATTGAAACTGACCGAATAACTCTTGCGAAAGTGCAATAGTCCCTTGTTCCGCTGAACGGAAAACATTGCGACCTCATGGAGTGATAATTAGGGGATATAGTGTTTTCTGATAATCACTTTTCTTACGGGTCATTTTGACAAAACCCTGCTCACCTGTGCTTACTCGAGTTCTTCTGTGTCTTCCGTCGGTTCCTCCTTTTCTTCAACCTCTTCGACCTCATCCAACGAAGTCATTTCTCTTTCGACTGGCTGCTCTTCTGTTTCTTCCACTTTTGGCTGCTGTACGTCGGACTGGACTACGGACAAGGAATCTTGCGGTTCTTCCGGCTTCTGTAGATCAGCCTGCTGGCTTTTGATTAGAAGGTCTTTTGCTCGTTGCTCGTCCATCAGCTCTAGCTGGTGGTATTCATTGTATCTTTCCGTGACAACCTGTTAAGGATGAAGGATTATTTATGAGTTGGTCCATGGTTTAGCTACGAGAGATTTATAACGCTTCGATAAAATTCCTATACAACCTTCTTTTTTCTAAATTTGATGTTTATGTACTATTTCACCTAGCCCGTGCTATACAGAAACCTCAAAACTGCTTACAAAGGCTCCATTGCAATCAAGTCATCTCAGCTAAGGGAGCTTTCGAACCTCTCTTGATAGCGAACAATCTTTGAACAGTCTTTGATCTAACGTTAGTGTATCAGGTTTTTTGAGAATGTGGCATCTTGCAGGAGGCTGTTCACACACTATTCAGTTTTGTCTGTCCCCATTTGTCCCGGAACATGGGTACCTTAAAAATACTACTGTATTTCAACCTGAGGAAGATTTATGGCTGTTGCTTCGTGACTACGCGATAAACTGAGTAAATTTCTTTCACAGCACTTGGGGGTCTTATTCGTTTGTCTTTTTATGAAGTTTTGATTCTACCTTAAACGTATCTGAGTACGTTAGATTCATCTTTGACTGACCACCAAGTATTGACCAAACTTCTGCAAACGCTTTCAAAGATATCCTAAAAATCACTCTGAAAATATTTACTTTTGTATTGCTTTCTTTCGTCATAGATTATTGGAGTTTCAAAGGCAAATCTTTTGTACACGCTTTGTCCACCACTCGATGATCAGAATTCCTCGTAGAATTCCGAATATTCGAATATTTCGAATATTCATCTCACCTCACCTCAGTGAGTGAGTGTGCTACGGTGAACAAATTTCACATGGGAATGGCGCGAAACCAATGGTGTTAGGAAGGGAGACAGTGGAACTCGTTTTGGTCTGATGCAATGTGAGGTAAGCTTCAACATGCATCAGCCAGTAACACTTTTAGTTCGAAATAGGATACCTTTGTTTTTGGCGAGGTTCAATGGTCTCCAAACAGTTAACAGGGGTTATAGGCACTGGTTTTCGCTCCGTGACTAGTGTCTTTCAGAGTTGTCATGTAATCCTTCGAAAGTGTGAAATTCGTGTGAATTTGTTTTATAAATGGTCACGCTCATCGCCTTCCTGGAGAGTTGAAATCGCTTCATGGTGAACGAAATCACGAGCTTTCTGCCGCAGTGGGGATGGTCTTTCCAGAGCGAGGAAATCCTATGAAAATTTGACATTGAGCTGTTCCACAAAGTGCTTCCCTTCGGAGAGGGTACTCTACTTACATAACGTAACGTTGCAAGCTTACAGTAATGTTGTTTTGTCTGATTTACAATGAGTCTGTGCAACTTCCTGGGCCCAAAGGGAATGTGGGTGTACTTTGTGAGCTTTGTGTACTTGAATATCCTCTCTCACGATGTAGCTTTCCAGATTTCAGCAACTTATCCTACTTTATCAGCCCCAGCACTTCAACTGCAGACAGCCACAAACATTCATCTTAAAAAATCAAAAGACAAATGACGAGAAATGTGAGCGTCTTCAGGCGCCCCGGTCTCCAGTAACCCAGCCAGACAGAAGTTAACCATTGTAACGTCGGGGACACTGATTCAAGGCTGCCCGTTGTAGTACCACACATCGTACAACACATTTGTGTGTGTTTATTTGTGAATAGAATATCTCTATTGTGGTAGATCTCTATTTTCACTGTGAATGAGCGTCCATGTGCTTGTTTATTTCTTGCGTCCATGTCTTGTTTATTTTTGTTCAGCAAGAACAAGACCGTATAGGTTTCCGGATTTATTTTCTGTCCTTTTTGGCTGAATGTAGAGGATGAAATGAGGAGTTTAGCTGTCTACAGTCAGCACCGAAAACCACTCGCTAGCTAATCTGAGCAATATGTTATGTGTGTAATTTAGTTGTAATCGTACCTCGCGAATCATCAGGTCCAACAAGGCCCTTGCCCGATTATCCAGTTCCAGTTCTTCTTCGACTTCTTCCATCAACCACGGGATGAAACCGTTCTCAATATCTGTTTTGAGATGGGATTCATGTAGAAGATTGGAATTGTTAGACATTCTAAGTGTGGTTAAACATCTCGGGTACTGATACTCGCTTATATGTACTGGCGTTTGGAAACAGGTTTGAAGTTTTACTGTTTTTCTTAGTACACTTCGTCCAAATAGCGTGAATGTCTTTGCTAGTGCATTCTGTCAATTGTTGTGTATTCAGCTTCGCCAGGTTTATAATGTATTACAAAGGTGTAGAAAAACTTCACTGACAGTGTAGCGACAATGGGCATCCGCCAGGTGCAACTCTTTGAACGTATGCGGTGAATACAGAGACCCATGTTGTACTGTTACGATCCCTTTACGTGTTATTGAGAGCGTTCTCTAGGGTTGTGGATACCCACGCAGATTATACGTAACTTGTTTTTATAATTGGAGCCTTGGGAGCTTTGTAATTGAGTGATTCACTGTGTATGAGGTTGTCTGTTGGGGACTGGGCACAAGTATATTTGCCCCCAATAGCCGTTTATATCAGTCAATTGGCACAGAGGTTAGCCAGTGTATATATAGCGAGCATCTTTGTACGAGCACTGCTTCAATGTACTAAATGATGGTCTTCTGGTCTGATCTGCTATCAACAAACTGTTCGAGGACTGTCTTTTACTCGTTAATAATTACACGTGACGCTTTCGAAAAAGTTTGGTGACAATCGGTAGATTTATTGCTGGGCAACGTTTCGCTTTTGACACAAAAGCTTCGTCAGGCCAAGTGACTAGGTTCCGAGGTTGATCGAGATTTAAGGCGGAAGGAGAACCAATCAGCTAAGTCAAGCTAAATCTCTGTTGGGTGTCGGCCGAGGGATTTTAGTGTGTTAGAGTGGTTGAACAAGTGTTGGGTCGGTGGGGAAACCTACATGTGTTTGGGTCCTGCCTAGGGTCTAGTTCTTCTGGTTCGGTTCATTTGATGGTTCCTCTTGAACTTCGTTTGAACCTTCTGTTAGTCTGTGTGGGTGAGCTAGTGCTAAGAAAGTTGTGTAGGAGGGATGCTGTGACCTTTGGTCGGTTGGGGTTTCCACCCCTACCCCCCGGTTTTTTCTAATGATTCTAAGTGGATTGACAACCACACCGTCACGTGTCAACTCGGCTTATCTAAGACCGCTTTCCATACGCTCGCTAGCTCCACACCCTCGATTCTATTCACGCTGTGATGCTTAGTGATTTCCACCGCCTCGGCTATCAGCCGTTGTGGTGTGAATCGCAGTCCCCGTCTTAAGACTTCCACATTCTCCAGATCTATTCTATGTCCCGTGTCTAAGGCATGTACCGCCATCGCTGAGTCTTTGACCAGCGTTTGGTATTCTTCTGCATTCTTTGGTGGTTTGTTAATCCTTCTTTTATGCTCACCAATTCTGGTGTGCAAAAGCGAAACGTTGTCCAGCAATAAATCTACCGATTGTCACCAAACGTTTTCGAAAATGATAACTACCCAATCGGTTTCAAACATTTTCCACGTGATTGTACACGTGACGCTGATCACCACAACCTGATGAGGACCCTTTAAAGAGGGTCACTTTTGTGTCCAGTTCTATACTTTCCAACACCGGAAATCTTATTCGCACGATACAGACTGTGGTTGGGTTCTTTCTTTGTAACCTGTGCATCTGGTCGCCTCAAACTCAATAAATCGCAGAGTTTTATTGAACTTCCTAGGTAACACCGATAATGGCTGTTCATAAACTGATGTATCATTCATCTCAAAAGTATATTCTATCTGTTTGTTACTTAGTGTCATTATAAGTTTTAGCATTCACTTCACTAGTGAATGGTTTTGCACTTTTTTCTGTGAACCATAACTTGTCATATATAAGAGAAAATCATCGATTGGTTGCTGGACTGTTCGCTGAGCGTGGCAGTTAAATGTCACATGCTTTATCGCCAAGTGTGGTGATATCCTCTGCGCTGGTTTGAGTAAGAACCACGAAATCACCTCGGTTGATGATGTAACGTTTGAAATCAGACAACGTATTCGAGCAACATATATTCGGTAACATCGCCAAGACAATCATCGAGATTTGTATTCCTATTCTGGTCTGTCGTTCGGTAGACCCAATGTCTTGTAAACTCATCCTCGATTGAAATTGTCAAACCTCTCTGAATTAACACGTCTGTCGTCATTACCCTCATTACCAATGAGAGCAACATCAGAGCTTCAGTGTCGTCTTTAAATGCGCCCTATTATATTTCGAGTGGGTCCAGGATTCGCCAGGTTACTCGATAGAAAACATGAGGCCTGGCCATGTGAACTACAAAAGCATCATTTACGATCAGCTGTTATAAATGGAAAAAAACGTCTAGAAATAAATATTTTAGTTTTCTGCATCGTCTGATGAAAACTCAGAATATTTAGCCTCGCCGTCGTATAGGAAAGAGCACACCACCGAAAAGCACAGAAACGTATGAAAGCAGCGGGCAACCAAACAAGCAACCGGCAAATCAGTACTATTCGAGTTGATTATGAACCCGTAGATACGTTGACTCTTACACAGCTTCGAAAGGGCAGCTGACGGGATAGAAATCACAGCAACGATCCTATCGTTCGTTGAGCACTATAGCCAAAAGTTACAGGGGTGAGGCTTTCAACCGATAGAGAGTACTCACTACATGGTTATATAGATCTAAGGAACCCAGCACTTCGCTCTTTTCTGAGTGAGCGTCAGATATGTTGACGTGTTGTTGCGCAGTTCATAGATGTCTGTCTTCTGAATACAACAATTAGAGCAGAACGATCGTCACTCTACCCCCAAATAATCTGTTATCGATGACTGCAATATTTAGCTCGTCCACATATACGCAGTTTTCCACCTTTAACATAAACGACCAACTGCTTTTCGCAGTCTACTTTGGGAAGGGCTTCAAGTTGCATGTTTCCCGAATATATTGGGTTTCCTCTCTTCCAGCGATGAGTCCCCAATTTCCATCTGGACTGGAATGCATGTATTCGCACACGTACTGAAGAGGCACCGTGATATTGGAAACTAATTACAGCTCGATCGTATTCAACTTACCATGTTCCACCGGGTCATAGAAGTATCCTTGTTCTTTCAGTTTATCAAAAACGCGTGGTTGCAAATCTGAGAGGTAGGCCTTGGCAAACGCCCGTGCCGCTACCTTAGCTGCAAGTTCTTTCTGTTGTGCGACTGCAGCCACGTATTGTTGTCTACGTTCTTCCTTTTCCGTTCTGTAATAAATGTAAATGAGTCAACGGTTACTCATAGTCGGATTTCGGTAATCATCAAGCAATCTTTCCTTCTCGTTCATCATTTATTATCTGTCTCAAAGAAGTCCGTTGCAACATTAGATAAAAGTCTGTATGTACAGGAATAGCCCAATTCACACACCAAAGGAAATTTAGTCGTTCTTACCTTAACCGCTTATCTTGTTCCATCAAGCGCTGAACCTCAGCGATCTCTGCACTACGTATTTCCTCAAATGCAGATTGTTGAGCACGTAGATCGGCCAATTCCTCCTCCTCAGCCACTTCCAATAGTGCCTGCTCCAACGTTTTCCCCAACAACACTTCTAAAATTTCGCGCACTTCCAGGTCGAAGTCAAACAGCTTTGTGCAGACGTTTACGTTTGGTGGTTTGAGTGGAGAAGGGTAGAATATCAGTGGGAGAAAAACAAATGTGATGAGACACTCGAAACAAATGCCTAAACCTCAATTCCATGGTAGGGCAAATTCAATAGATCGTTTGACGTCCCTGTTTGGTTAAGCTAAACCACGTCCCTCTATCCGAATTGACGATCAGCCGGACACATAGAGGTACACAACTAAAGATATTCAGAAGCTATAATGAATGATCATCCTCAATTTTTTGCTGATTCATGATGCACTTTTCGTACCTGGTGCACGAACTCATTCTACATGGCTCATTCCACGCCTAGTCGTTTTGAACGCTCTCAGGTCTCCTAAACAATGCAAAATCCAGCAGGCCTGTGAAACCACGAGAACTTTCCAGTCATTCAGAACTTCATAATCGCACGAGACGGTATTGCTTTTTTTCAAGCGATTTTCATAGCCCGTATTTAATGCCATGCAGTCATTAGTTTTGGTTGCAAACATTGTGCTTGTAAGTAACTTACATCACCTTCATAAATTTGCGTCTCAACGTCTGCACCAGTTTTTGCGGGAACGAACTGCGGCGTTGGTGGTCGGTCCAGGAATGCATCTGTTTGACATTCGACGTCGGCTTCATCGATAATATCCGTCAGTGCTTCCAGATACTGTTCTGTTTGCACCGGAACATGCAGTCGGCCTGACAGTTCTGCCGGTGGTAGCTGAGATAAACGAGATAAAACTGCTGGGGTAGAGGTTTGTATTCCGGCGTTTTAAGCAACGAACATTTTGGATTATTAGCAAGAGTTGGGATTGTCTCTATGTGGTGTTTAACTACCATTGAATGTGTGTAGCTACTTCTGCCAATTGAACGTCGGAGTAGGCAAGCTGTCTAACTAGTTTCCTCGACATTTAGCCGTAAGTTACTACTGTGTAGTCTGCTAAAAAATAAGCTCAGCTGAATAAATTTGAGGACTAGCAACCTCAGAAAAAAGTTTAATAAATTATGGACTTACCTGGACTAGTAAATTTCGAAAACGGGCATTTCCAAAGTTACAGTATGACGTCTTACTCGTCGAATACGTCGAATAATGCGCGTTTTTCATACCGTCCCGTACAAATAAAAAAAATCCACATATTTGTCTCTTATAGGCCTCATAGCAAAGTTCGAATCAACACCCGTTTGCATTCTGTGCCGTTGTAAAAATGAAACTGGTACAGCTAACAGGTCTAAACACTCACAGCTTGCAGCCAACTTAAATACAAACAGGGCTGTACATGGAGATCAAGTGAACGCAGCTTGTCAGTAGTATCAGTCTGGCTGCTCTGAATAGGCTCAGGTAGTTTTGGTTTGCCTACAAACAAACTGTTACGTACTCAACATTGCATTTAATGTAGAAGAGCGTGAAACCTACTTCACACGGTCGCTGTTGGCCATATGGACACGCCGGGTACTGTTTAAGCATCCAGAAGAATGAAACTGAACCATTAATTCACAATAGTAGACTCAACGTTGTCCCCCTCCAAAAGCCTACCACCACTTTTAACTGCAGCATTTCCTGCCACTGTTCCAAACAATACACGACAGATAGCTTAGTTCATCACTGCCATTACCTATTACAAATCATGTAGAATTTGAACTTAGAATAACTTGGACAATCAAAATTGTTAGGCTACTATCCGAATTTCAATGGAAACTTTGTCCTGTAAGTGAGACCAGTCTATTCTAAAAGGCCGAGAAGCACTATACAGTTGTTTCATACTTATTGGGAATCATTGTTTATCATTAAATTAACTATTTAGTACCACTACTGTTGCCTCGTTACACATCACTTTTTTTGTCTCAAGCGCCTAGTTCAGGCGTGTTTAGTGAATTTATATTTCTTCATCCTTCTTCTAAACCAACAGCGCAACAAAGACAATCGTTCAGTTCTAAGCCGTCCTCGGTACAAGGTGTCTAGCCACCTGAAAGAGGCAGGAGGACAAAGACACTGCCAGGTTTCCCAAGCCTACACAGGAGAAGTCGAGGCACTGAGGTTGGGTTCGAACCACAAAGCTTTCAGTCAGTTTGTGTCTCAACCACCAAGCTATTTCAGACTATCTGACAAGCCATACATTATTCAGCCTGATCGAATGCGTTGTTTCTTTACAAATGGGCACTCAAGTGTCCATGTTTGTCGTTCTGTTGGTCGATGGCCCATGTGGTCTCAATCAGTTAATCATGTTGCCCTATTTTCCTTCCAGCGCAGTTTTGACTGCTATCTTCAAACAATCATCAATTACGGAACTGTAAAGGATGCCATAAAATGATCATTGTGTTCTCTTGAGTGAATAATGAACCCTTTGAAAGGCATCCTTTATGCAGACAAAGTAATATGTATAAAACATTTTAGAACGTTTCACAACCTATATTAAGTCACTACCGTTTGTCCATGTGGCTAAAGAAAGGGACGAATAAACACAGTACAGAGGTTTGTCCATGTGGCTAAAGAAAGGGAAGAATAAACACGGTACAGAGACAAGAATCAAAATTTCACCCCTTGGTTAAGAAATCCCTCGTGATAGTTTATATATCCAACAGGCCTGATCCATAAAATATCTTGGTCAAATACGGGGCACCCGTAAACAAAGAGCTAAGGACTCATTTCATTCAGAGTATTCTGCGGAAGAGGAAGTGTGGACAGCTTTGGGGGACAAACCTACGTATTTAGAGACTCATCTCACGGTAAGGACTCTGTTGGAGTCGGAAATTGTTTTCTTACCAAGCATTAACATTATCCTTGACGACGGTATGGGGACAAGCGGGAGATATACGGCAAGTTGCAGGGTGCGCACTGTGGTACAAACTGTTTCAAACACTTCCAGAATATCGAGATAAGAACGGGCGGCCTAAATGTGGTTGGTTAAGACTGGAAGCCATATCTCTACAGCTCATCAGTCTGGCAGTAACAGCAAACTATTTGGAATAGATTCTTGCCGCCTGCTTACCACTTGGTTGCTATCAGAAGAAGAGGTAGGACAATAATCTTCCAAGGAATCACAAAACTAAACTTAAATAACTTTCGACCCGCGTGTCATCCGGCAGTCGTGACGGACCAAAGAATTATACGTTAGACGGTGAGTTCTACTGAACCACTGGATGAGTATCATAGTGCTGAATATGTGCTGTGTTCTACCTCTGGGTTGATGTATTTATATTTTGCGAATCACGAATATTTTGATCGGGCTCCGTATTTAACGCCGCCTGTGACAAACCCTGAGTGGCATTCACATACATGGATTAAATGAGAAACAAATACTGACAGGTATATTACGACAACAATCAGAATGACTGTGTCAGCGGACTAGTGTGATTTTGAAAACGATAGGTTGTTTAGGCTCTCCAGCATTTGACCAGCGAGAGGTCGCCATACCATCCTTACAGAGGATAGGCGTGGCGTGTAACCTAATATTAATCGTTGGTTGAAGAGACCACACGCAGGCTTTGTAGCTGCTTTCTTTACCTACCTGAAAACCCGCTGATAGTATTGACTCGGAGATACTAAGTTTCCTGATATTATCGGAGTCAGCAGTTCACTACAATCAGCGGGTTCACAGTGTTTTGTTTGACCAGGCTTAGGGCGCATCCAAGGTAGTTTGGCTGCCCATCAGCAGTATGTTAGAACTTCTTACTGGGCAGACATAATTGGAAGTAATACGATAATATTTTTGGCCCACTTGGTGGGTTTTGGTGTTGGGGCCGTTGAAACTATGCAGGTTATTCCGATTGTGGATCACAAGACGCTCCAGTTTTTCATGTTGCGATTCAAATGATTGTCTGCAGTCTTTTAAGCTTTGCATGCCTTGAAGACTTATTCTTCTCTAGATTGGACGCAGTCCATTGGGGAGCTTCAGCCGTTCGGGTTGAGATGTGTATGATGGAAGTGACATCCCGGGTGGCTTCTGGTGAGGTTGATAACCACAAGCCTTGGGATATTCATCATCCATGTAATTGGTGGTCCGGAATTATCCGACATTAAGATGCCTAATTAGTTAACGGTGAGGCTTTTGTTCACTTCTATGGCATTATTTGTCCTCAAAAGTTGGGTATTTTAAGAGCTTTTGAAAAACGATAATCACTGATGTTGATTTTACATTCCGTGTCCAGCGTCTTTTGTGAACAGCCAATTGCCGGGACATAACCTCTGTCCAAAGCCGTACCATATTTAAGTACTCGAACCTCTACTTTCGAGTTTTACGCACATCCGATCCACTGCAGTTGAATGAGACGAGTGGAAAATCAGATAGAATATAGCCAGCTGGATCATATCTCTTGCCACCTTTTTTAATTCTGCGTGATAACCTCTTGCTCAATCTTCCTGGTAATTTGGATATACCTAAGCTCTTTTGGGACAATAATTTTCTCCTCAAGGGACACAGGTGTTAGTCAGTTGACACCGCTGCCTGAAGGTGGATGGCGAGCCAAAGTGTTTCAGTTTGGTAGCCGTGTACAAACATAATGAACAGCAGGTCTACTAGTTTGTCCAATGGATGTATCGAATGATGGCTCTCTGTAACACTGACCTTTAGCTTTACTCATTGTAGATCTGAAAGCGAATGCCGAAAATTTTTGTTCTTCAGTTGCCTCCTGACTGATCATTTTGTGCAATTTTTTTCTGCTTATGTTTCACTGGGGTTGAAGTAATTTGAAAATATATATACTTCTCAACAGGCATTTGGAGCTGGAATTTTGAGTCCATACTAATGTAGTCTTAATTTTGCCTTGCTTTTCGTCACCTACTCATTTTTATTTATGCGACCTTGTCAACTTCAGTTTACTTCTCCTCTCCGGTTTTGAGGAATCACCAACAGTGATTGCGCAGCATTAGAAAACATTGAAAGGCATAAATATGCGCAAAATTCAATCCTTGCATCGCAGAAAAGTAGGCGTGTATTCGTTAAACGGGTGGTAGTTCGTGTCTTCATTCTGTTTTTTGATCTGCAAAATACTCCGAATGTCTTCATCGCTTTTATTTTTGCAGCTGATAACAGACCATAGTGGGTACAATTAGACTGCTTTTCAGATAGGCAGTCAACTAAGTGGTCTCGCGCAACCTCTATTAACCTCTACAGTGGTGAATCTTCAATTTTTTATATTATGTTTTAGTCTGCCGTTAGAAGGTGTACTTTGCTCAACATCGGCCTCAATCATCAGCTATTAGCTGCTCGTGGTGCGCTGAGATAATTTATTACATGTTTATTGGTCCCTATTAAAGGATGCTTGAGGCAGGAGAAGATCCTATGCTACCCAAGATGCTCTAAAGCCTTTCCAAAATGGGTTTGTTCGACTAAGCGAATTTGTGCTTGGCAGGGGAGCACGTAGCTTGCCCTGAAGATAGCTGCCTACTAACCACGTATAAGCAGGAAACGCAGGGAACTTTTCAAGTATTTGCGGCCTTGTGCTATCAGCAAAGATGTTGTGCAATCACAATTCACAAATCCGAAAACGATGAGTGAAATTAGGAGCAGCGAAGACCCCAGCGCGATGGTACACCTCATAGAGTGGGTTGCCCCCAACAGCACATCGCTGACATCGATTGAGACCGTCTATTCTTCAGGCACGTGGGCGGCCCATCATGGGGAACACCATCTGTTTCAAGTGCCACAAGCTCCCAAAGGAGTGTACAGTAGTACACCCGGGAAATGTCCTTAGGGTATATAGGAAGATGACGCTTATCCATGGTCCTGTATTGAATTCGTAGTTCAAGAATTTTTCAGCATCAGGGATTTGGTCCTGCAAAAACTTCTCCATCTGAAACCGCACCGAACCTGAGGTTAAATCAGTCACATGAAATAAGCGGTGTGCTTTAGGAAATGTCCAGCAGTGTGAGGAGAAAACGATTTAGTAAGGATCCAGGTACTGGTGTTATCACCAAAACCTCAACTAATTTCTCGTTGTTCCCTCACATACAAACTGTACCTGCACGACAAATACTCCATTCAGGACTGTATATTGACACATCTTTGCTGGATGGTGTTATGGACATAGCTGATTTATGTTGACAACATGTGCATCGTGTATTTTTAGAAACCTTGGAAGGAGTCGGGGATTACGTAATAAGAATAATAATACCCTGGACAACTACAAAGAGTAACTGGAATAGATACTTAAAGAACGGTTGTGTTGCACCAAATTATGGTTATATTCTATAGTAAAATCCTAAGGACATCCTCATGGACTCCTCATACGTCACAGAAATGAAAAACCGAAAGGTTCTGATGAGAGTGATATAAGAAATTCATGTACCTTGTAATCTTCTTGTGTCCTCCGGAGCTTATTGAATTTCCTAGAAGAAGCAGTTGACCCAACGTTTTTGGTTGATCCCCAGTGGGTCGACGCGACACGCAGCGCATATGTGTTTCCCCTGATAACTCGTTTATCATACATTATATTTCCATAACTTTCCCGTTCAACCCCGGGGAACCTGTGTTCTTCGGATAATTTCTGAAACTGACTTACTTGAGCTCACCATCCCTGTACTTGGATCTACCTGCTACCGCTTTTGGCTGACTAGCAAAGGAATACGTTCCTTCGGTATTTCGTTGCACCAGGGTAGTCATTTTGTAAGTATGCTACCCCTCGTTCCCTATGGCAGTTGGGTTTTACTACAGTTAAACACCCTAGTCAGTCCAGTAGCTACAAAAAACTCTCCCCCTTATGAGATGGCAGTTACCCTGTGTAGCTTCTGGAACGGACAAATGGAAAGGGATAACAGAGCTAGATTTTACCAGGTACTTTGAATGGGGAGGCCATCAGTGGTGGTCGATATACGCAATAATACTAATATGACGGAGATAATTTCGACCAGACACATTTAGTTCGGCAGAAGCTTGTTTTGGTTCGACCGGGGCCCAGAACCGATAGGGCCGAAAGCCTTACGTTCAAATGTGACAAGAGAATAGTAGTGGAGAACCTGTAATTCCAGTAAGGGGTCATCATGTTAGAATAAGTTCTGAGGGGCTGGACAACCAGTACGATTTGGAAAATCGTCGGGCCATATCCATTAAGGGTAAGCTGTCGATCATGAGTGAAAAAACTTTCTGAGGGGCTGGACAACCAGTACGATTTTGGCAAATCGCGGGCCATATCCATTAGGGGTAAGCTGTCGATCATGAGTGAAAAAACTGATAAGGGCTGCGGAGAATGTGATGTCGAAGAGACGGTCCACAATTCTACTTACTGACTTTGAAAGGATTCGAACTCATGCACTTCTAGGCGGGTGTCACAGTTTGCGAAGATGCTGAGCGCCCTTCTTACCTATGCTCCGAACTGCGCCGAAATTCATTTGATATTTTCCGTTCATAAAAGTAGTAAAATAATGCGGTATCTTTTCGAAGAATCCATGAGTGTCCTTTGAAACTTCACACTGTTACGTATTTCTAGCTTTGGGAGCCTGCATTTGACGAGATTGACTATCTCTGGTTGGTTGACAATAACCGTGGGAGGAGAAAGATACACCTTACCAGATACTCACAGCGGCTGACGAAACGTTCCGCAGGTACTATTTGAGTCTAGGGAATATGGTTCCAGAAGCCAGGGGATTTCCCTTGAGGGTTGATGGGAAGGCGCCTGACAGGGCGGTAGTTGGCTGCACACGTTATTGGTCCCTTGCGGAGTATGTGGATCTTCGGACCATACTTGTTGGCCATCACAGTGAATGAGTTCCTCAAGACTTCATAGGGGAAGGTACGAAAAATTAGACTGAAACCAGGAACTTGGTTGTTCCCGGTACTTTTCACCTAGGATCACCGCTTTTGAATCACGGCTGGCATGATAACGTGGTCCCAACATCCAAATAAATCCGGAGATGATCCCCAACAGGTTGAGGAGGTGTATTCCATAATTTCAGTTGCACGAGTCAGCGGCGCTAAGGAGTTTTCCGCCGATAGCTAAGTAGGCTTCAACATTCTGGGCATGGCGTGTCCAAAATTACGGTGCCTGAGCTCTGTGTTTTCGGTACAGCGTACTGCACACACGGTATGGCATGGCCTCTTGTGTCTATTTTTCGCTTAGCGAGAGGGAAGATTTGGTACATCCGTATCATTGGATGAATTTGAATCGGAGGACCACAGACAAGAGTGATTCTAATGACTCATATCAACACAGTATTATCGGTGGTCGGTGGTGGCCAAATGTCTACGTCTAAGTAAGGAATGTACCTTCCGGTGGCAAAAGTATCCTAGAAGAGCGCAGCACGAGTGTTTCACCCCAGGAAGAATGATTTCATCTGTTATGCCTTGTTTACTAACGAGGATGAGATCTCTGTAGTCTACTGGGATGGATGGAAACCTAGCGCCAGACTAGTAATGTGAATGGGTCTTAAGCTGAATCGCGCCAGACCGGAGTTCGGGGCCTTATGACTGACGGCAGTTAAAGCTTCCAGGATCATTTGTGATGACGCTTGAGACCGGGAACTGATCGCTCAAAAACAGAAGCTCAGTTCACTGTAATCCGGCCAATCTCTGAAGCCATTATTTTGCGTAGCAGGTCTACTTATTATCTATATTTGATCTAGGTTTATTCCCGAATAAATCGGGGTTTGGATAGGAAATTTGAATTTCGAAGGTTTCTAGGCGACATAACACAATTGATCGCTCAAAAACAGAAGCTCAATTCACTGTAATCCGGCCAATCTCTGTAGCCATTATGTTGCGTAGCAGGTCTACTTATTATCTATATTTGATCTAGGTTTATTCCCGAATAAATCGGGGTTTGGATAGGAAATTTGAATTTCGAAGGTTTCTAGGCGACATAACACTTGCCACTATAATTCTCATACAAGGTGGAAACAAACTTTTTATTATTATTGGTGGTGGTGGCAGTTACGTAGTTAAGGTCATGCTTTAAACAAACCCATTGAATGAAATTCAGCATGTCAATTTTGTTCCAATGTAGCACCTAGAACTGGGCCGCCTTCATGCATCTTTAGTTTTTGTTTTCGCTAGTGCGGACTAATGTAGTCACGAGCCTCCCTGGTCAACCCAAGGTCCCACTACCCACAAAATCGTCCACCTCGGTTCGATCATTTCAAACTTGACGCCCGTCACGAGGCTGTCCAGGAAACGACGAATACCAGTGTAGTGACGGTACGGCATCGTTATACCCAGTGTGCTGGCACATTACTAGTTATTTACTTCATATTCCCAACTGGACCTTCTTGCATACTTGTCACTTTGCCTGCAAACAGGCCCAGCCGCCCCTAGGACCCGTTCGTTCTAATTAACTGAGCTGTTTGTTCGGACCAAGCAATCTCGTTGGACTTTCAGCTACGCTCCCCACAAAGCCGATCATTTTCTAAATCGTCCGCACTCCGTTCTGTGCGCTTGCATATACTCAGTATCCCAGGGAACATTTACACCCGGCTCCGCACCAACAGCAGCGCCAGTGAGTCCATACAATTTAACTTCACACCATATTCCTGATATTTAAGCTACTTTATATCCGCATTGCGACTTTCTCCACCTCATAGGCTTTTTTGAGCCTAAACACAAACTCAACTGCCCCAAAAAAACCCCAGCCTTGGCAACGTTTTTGTTGACATTGATGCCTCACCGTACCCGATGTTGTGGTTCCTTGTTTTCCTATCGTCTGTCTTGAAAGATGCCATAGTTCTTCCTTCTCCGTTGTGTTGTTGACGGCCATCTTCAAATCGTGATGGTCTGATCTTGCTTAGGCGTAATTGGTTAATCGAAATATAGAAACCCCCAATAACTACATTCCTCCGTCCCCGAGGCTCAGCTAGTTTCAGGACAGCCGTGAGCTTTAGCATGATTCTGTAGAAAAAATAGAAGCCTGTCGCTTCTATCAAAGTTGTCTGCTCTACGTTGGGTCTCAGAAGTAATTCATATTGCACCAACGTATGGGGTAGGCGCGTTGGGTATATTGAGAATCCGTCAATTTTTAGTCGGCATCGTCCCACTACTCTGACGGCTAGGGCACATGGCTTGTATTCAGCTCCTCCCATTACCTGGATCTGTGACAGCCCAGCCGCCGCGCCAGTTACGTACGTTTCCTTTTTCCCGTCCACTTCGATAGCGGCCTTTATTGCAGCCTGTGTTACAGCACTGATCACAACCCACCCTGGAAAGGAGAAATAAGCCTAAGAGCTACTATTTACTCGTTTCCGGTTACGACGGCATCGACCGTTCCAATGGCAAGGCATGCCGCAATTTTGACATCAGCTTGTTCGAGCGCGCTTCCACGATTTTGTCTTCGTGACCTCAAGCTGTCCGATTGGTTGATCCCCTTTTGTCTGCAAGTTCTCCATTGGTGAACCGACCCTCTTCTGTTGCGACTGCAACAGTAAACGAGCACTGCATAGCAGTTTCACACCTTCCGCAACAACCTTCATTCCCCATTAGATGCGAGGCGGAGACTGGCCACCAAACGTAGACTGGTGGTATGATTCATCAGCAGAATTTTTCACTGCATTGGTATCCACCCTGCAGAGCACCAGTTGTAGGAAATAGACAGTGAACATTTCATTACTGTACCTATTAATTTCACTAGTTTTGATATGGTTTTCTTTTTACGGGGCATCACGCCCTTCTGGTAAACCTCGCATTTCTTGAGGGCTGTTGTTCATAAAGCAACAGCCGCAGGAAATAATGCATTGAAACTTGGTCACCAAAGATGGCAGTTCTACGATATTTTGGCCGCTGACGTGCTCGTTTAATATGGTAAGTATTGTTCCTGGCTTGTCAGCCGCCTGCCTAAATACCCCAATAAACCGGCGTGTATCTTCCTCTCACTTCAGGGCATCATCATTTCGTTGAACGTTACGCAGCAAGAGGTCCGCGTGCCTCCCAATAGTTTATAAGTGATAATAGTATATGTGAAATAAGAATGCCTATTACGATTCAACTTTTTATCTACCCTAATTTTCACGGTTGTCTTCTCCCAGCCAGAAGGGATGAGCGCGGTTTATAAAGCTGCTCGACGTTTATAACATTCAGCTAGTTTCTTACGAATCGTTGTTGCATAAACGCACTTCAGTCGTGTGCGTCAGCAAGGTACTTTTAGCTCTCCTCTATGACCATGGTAAATTGCATCCAACTAATTAATTTGATTCATGGACCCCTAGCCACATTTTAGCAGTATGCTTCATCTGGGTTCTCGACTCTGTACTATGCTACCACAGGCGGCCTCCGTCGCTTATGCTGAGACCCAATGTTAGGTGTCATGATGATTTACCCGCCATTTAGACAACAATTTGAAACTACCTGGAAACCACCCGGAGCCAGCTATGCCAAACCCGGTAGTGTTGCCATTTCCAACAAAGTAATCTACTACAGTTCACCAAAGAACTTTTATGGCAAGTGAGGGTCATCATCGCCTATAAGCCTGGTGTTCTCAAAGCCTCGTACGAATTAACCGAATATAATGAATGTGGCTACGGCTATTGCTACTTGGTATAGTATTTCTCAAGGTTCCAGATCACAGCAATCGGTATTCCTCTAGTCGAACAGGAGCTAAAAGCAAGCTTTAGTTACATGAGTTACACTCCATTCCACGAGCAATATGTAGGCTTCAGCAAGTTTAAGGAACGATTTTAGCTGAGTAACTACCAGCAAATTTGGCTCATTTTAAGTCATTACGTTATACCGCGATTTGCGTTGTCTTATTTCATTAGGTAATATTTTTTAAGATTGCTTTGGTTGATCATCGCAAGGAATCGGGACAGGAGAAGAATAGGATAATTGTGCTAGTTTCACTAAGTCAGATCGCACAAAAAGTGCTGGACTAATTCATATGGCATCAGCTCATGTCTTACTGCTGTACACCTGATGGTCACCAGTCTAACAGATGGAGGCCATTGCCTTTTCTTCAACAATGTATTCAAATGAGGACCGCAAAGGCAATTTCCGGACCGAAACCATTATTTCTATTAAACAGTTTCAAAAACCAGCAAGATGTCCCTGCTGGGAGGCTTGAGTAAAACTGTCGGACGAGATTACTTCCTGTAGGCAGGCTATGCCATCGGGTCTGCAGGATCTAGGAGCAGCCTACCTTTGAATATCTTCGTTTTTCAGGCGCATGCCGACACAAACACAAAGCATTCCCCCACAGAAAAACATGTAAATGTATGGATGCACCCACTAGGTGGCTATCGGAGTCCACTTGACCACGTTACCGTCCTCCGGCAAATCTTTCAAGTGAGGTCCGTTGCCGGATTGATTGAGGGAGCACAGCACAATACACCAGGTTAACGTGACGGACGCGAGAAGTCCAGCGTTGAACGCTGTCTGAACTGCGCCAGCACTTGAATAAAAATTGACCGGAATCGTCCCGAAGAGTAACGTTGAAGTACCAACGTCAACAGGCTTCCCAAATTATAACCCTTCAGCCACTCGGCCAGCTGACAGGTGAGTGACACAGTTTGAGGACGAGATAATGATGACAGCTGCCAGAAAATTTGGGTGACAGTAAATTATACGTTGATTTATTTGACAAAAACAACCAGCGTACGAAACATCCTGGTATCAAGAAACTGAACGTCAGTCAAGTGTCTGGCCTCTCCCAAACAGCAAGGTCCATGAACGGCAGTGCTAATAATTATAGGTTTCTTTCCAGCTTTTATGGAGCATGCTTAGCAACGTTTAATGTAGACTTTACGACAAAACGAGTGGACGCAACAAAAACAAGATTTCCCTCTAGATAGAAGGTAGCTGTAGAATGTGAAATGACAGCTAGAACAAAACTGTCCGATTATTTCACCGATAAAGCCAGGTGCTTTCGGCTAAGGCTTCGAAACGTTGCTGACGATAGGCCTTCTCAAACGGTAGAGTTGTTGCCAGGATCAAGAAAAACGCAAGCGAGTGCGGATTAAAGAACTTCTCTGTAGTGTTACAGGGCACCTTGCATTTCAGAATTATGATGAACATTTTAACAGGATAGTCTTACTTTATTACTGATGAAATCCAAAGTGTCAGGCATCGGTTCACATTCAAAGCACCTTCTGTATCTCTCTTCAAGTGAATCCATATTGTTTATAAGAACTTCCTGGCTGTTTATTGCGCGTCATTGATGCGAAGCGCTGTAAACTTCACCCAAATACTCGAAAATTTTGGGTGTTACATCACACGACTAGAAATGCGGCGGCCAGCGTCTTTAGTGGTCTGGCTACCCAATAAGTTACTTCACCAAGAGTGTGTGGCAAGGAAATAAAAATAATAACGCTAGACTTGGTGTACAATAATAAAGAGGTCAAATGGAACAGGTCCATAATGATTTTTTCTCTTTAAAATAGTTTGCCGTTGGCCCATGTCAGCGAATAAACAGTAATCCAAGCGTGGTTGTCCAGGGGTCTTCTTCTGTACAGTTCCCTCACATAATATATTCCGAAGATGATCTGAAATGCTTTGACACCAGAGACAGCACGAGACTCGTGAAAGACCGCTGTAAGCGCCCTTCTTCTGTACAGTCCCCTCACATAATATAATCCGAAGATAATCTGGAATGCTTTGACGCCAGAGACAGGACGAGACTCGTGAAAGACCGCTGTAAGCGCAAGCGAAATCAGAAGAGTGTCGAAGCACATGACCACGTTTGTATTGGGTGAAATCGTACAGGTGCGCGTCTTTGTCGCCATTCGTATTCAAACAAAAAACGGTTATGGAATTGAAAAAATACGTTTTGTTATATTAGAAGTAAAATGAAAGTACAAAACACCCCAACTCTTCAGTGTTCTCATTTGCCCGTCACATGCGAGCTGACAGGCCGTGGTGTACAAATGATTGAGACAGCTTTGAGGAAGCTAAAATCCGCACCATCCCTTTTACCTTTCAGTGCATTTCACTAAAATGCCTTCATGGATTTTCAGAGGTTTTCAACGAAGGCTGTCAAAACGCAGCAGCAGATTCCCAATATTTCGTACTAAATTTTTTTGCAAACGCCCCACGTTTGATTTCGTCAAGAGAACCTCCTGGTAACCCAACATGATGTCCAATTTTTAATTCGCAAAAAAGGTACACCAGAGTCATGCACATTTTTCTTGCTACAACAAAGGTGTCTTCTCCATCGGTTTCCGCGAAAACCGTATGCTTTGTTGCGAAGCCCTTCGATCCAAAAAACTAATCCAAAACTCGGATTAAAATTATACTGTATTCTAAGGCTCTGTCGTTCTTTCCTTCTCCACACCTCTTCTAAGCAGATGGTAGAAAAACCTCCAGACCGCATGCTCAACTCGCTGGTGGGCCTCAAATACGAAAGTAAAAACAATGGTGGGAGAATTCGGTGCAAACGAAAGATTGAACCGTTGTCAATGAATGTATCCCATTTATATCCACCACCTCTTCCAAATCTAGATGGAAGGCGGTTCTTCCAGTGTCATTTAATTACAAATCATTAGGCCACTCGTGTAGTCTCCCCCCAGCTGTTTAAGCTTCACACGAAAATTTCCCACCTTTTGTTGTGGTTCCGCTTTGTGGGAAACATCCCGACATCTTCTTATCCGCCCCTTAAACCAGCGATCTTAAAAGGTCACCTCATGAAGTCTTATCATCGGTAGCAATTCGCAGTTGTTTATTCCGTCACCAAAAGGTGCTGATCCAATTGTTTACATACACCAAGGAATCTGAAGCAGGAGCGCACATTTCGACTGATTTGTGTTCCTCGCGGGCTCTCCGGATTCTGTGAACTACCCTTTTTATCGTGATGACCCTACGCTTTAAGGAGCAGAATACGTTTGGTACGATGTTTTTGAGGTCTAATGTGCTTAATATTTAGACCAGCGACACGCAGACTCGACGAAAATAAAGAGGAAATATCCGAACAGGATCCCGGTGAGTGGAGCTAGAATATATATGTGGGTGAAGGCTGATGCTATTACCACAACCTCTTAAAAATATATCGTTAGTTCGTCCCATACACACGATAAATACCCCATTTTCGACTGTATATTTATACGCTGTCGCTGGATGGCGCTTTAGGTATCACTGATTTGTGTCAAAAACACTCATCACATACAGGTACAGACCATGTAAGACACCGGGGATTATATTTTAAAAAAGTTACACCTAGGCAAAAATGGAGTGTGACTGAAACAAACACTTAAAAACGCTATTGCAGTGCATATGAACCAAATTAAGGTTCTAGTTGTTCAATTCCTACGGAGCCTTTCATGAACTCCTCATAGGTCACAAAAATGAAAAGTCGAAACGTCGTGGTAATAGTTATATGCTATAATTTCCTTCAGTTCATGCTGTTAATGTATCTCTGACACTCGTTATTCACAAATTCATTGAAAAGCCATTTCGTTTATTCGAAATTATCTGCCACATGTGTGCTTGCGTCTGTAAATTCCGATACATGGTCATTCGTGGAATAGTAGAATATCTCCTGTAGACTGTATCAACTCGTGTCTGGTCGAAATAAAATCTTCAGTAGTGCACCGTCAATTTGCGGGAGGTGGCTCCTGTAACACCCGTCCATATGTAGTGAAGCTTGGCTGCTGTCGGTGCTACTCGCCTTCCAGGATGGGGACCGCGTAATCCTCATTGTGTCTGGTTGGAGACACTACGAGATATGGTTGCCAACTGCGGTCAGTGGCGTTCTTGTTGCCAGTTTCTATTCAGATTGCCGGAGTGAATGTCTGGAGGTGTAGGCACCATGGAATGATTGTGTTAAGCTAGCACTAAGTCCCTCCCCTGTCCACCTTCACTCTTTTCTCTACAATAAGGCTTTCAAATAAATCGTGGTTGTACGGCAGTAAAGCATCGGTGTTGAACACTGATGTCATGCCGTCGATGATGGTGATGAGTTGTGAAGCTGGTTGTAATCGCATCGGGTCCCGCAGGTCCTCATACCGACTTTTCAGCCGTTTTTTACCTTTGGGTGATACAGGAGTTTAGGTATTCTTAGCGTTTACATCTTCAGCTAGAAGTTAACGCTGTGGTAACTTCACAGGGTTTATCTTACGGTTTCTGTCATCGAGATACAGAGATGTATTCAGGGGAATACCCAACCCCTCGGAATATTCTAGGCTTCTAAGCCTAATTGCTGCTTCGGATCCTCGTCTTGACCTCTTTGTTGACTGGTGGGAGTGTGGTAGATGGTCCGTACTCCAGCAGTTGTCTGATGTGTGAACTGACAGTAATACCAGAGCTTTCCGGATACATCTGATCAACTGAGCTTAAACTCGTCCGCATAGGCCTCTTACCAGCGGAGTCTCCCTCCTAATACTTTCAATATATGTGTGATCTGGTGCCATCAGAGCTCCCAGGCCTTCCTCTGATGTAGTTTCTGTCAGCAAGTAACCACTGATGTGATACATCGATCTGTTGAGGACGTCCAAACGACTTTTCTCAGCGTTTGTCACAATAACAGGAGGTCTCGTTGACTCAGTTGTTCAAGGACTGCATCGCCTTTATTGCTGACCGTCTCTCAGAGTTCAGAATCGTCTGCAAGGGCGAGACGAAGTTTCATTTCAGCGAGCAGCCGAGGAACTCGGCTGGTTCAGCATGCTTGATCAATGACTCTCTCTCTCTCTCTGGGCCGGTGAGAACGGCTTTGACCCATACTTTCTGTACATCTCTTTAAATGTCGGCTTTCGAAGTACTCGACTTGATCGAATACCCTACTGAAGCCTGAATACATGACAGTCTATTTTTCGGCTGTAATAGGGTTGGTTTATGTTTCTCTAGCCAACAGCATTTCTAAAACGTATAACCTACCCCTCTGGAAGTCGTGTTCTTCGGCCAAACGGAGACGATCGATTTAGCGCTCAGTTTCGTCCTTGATGGGCTCTTCATGAATTTGCAGACTACGGACATCGGTCCATACTTAGCTGATTCCTGCTAGGCTCTCTTCAACCATCATCATCATCATCATCGACAGCATGACATCAGTGTTCAACACCGATGCTTCACTGCCGTACAACCATGACTTATTTGAAAGCCTTATTATAAAGAAAAGAATAAAGGTGGACGGGAGAGGGACTTAGTGCTAGCTTAACACAATCATTCCAAGGTGCCTACACCTCCAGACATTCACTCAGGCAATCTGGATAGAAACTGACAACAAGAACGCCACTGACATCGGTTGGCAACCATATCTTGTAGTGTCTCCAACCAGGCACAGTGAGGATTACGCGGTCCCCATCCTGGAAGGCAAGTAGCACCGACAGCACCCAAGCGTTTCGTGATCTCCTTCATACTCCTCTGCCAAGTCATGGGTTGGTCACCTCTCTGTTTACGCCCCTCTGAATTGGGCATGGAAAACAGCCCTCTCTTCGGCAAACGATGGTTCGGCATACGTAACACATGTCCCAACCAACGCAGCCTCTGGTGCTGGACACATTCTTGAATGGAAGTACCCGTTACACAACCGAAAACGCGCTTTCTAATTGCCTCATTACGGATTCGCCGACACCAACGCACACGAGCTATGGTTCTGAGAGAAGATTGTCGAACAACTGAAGACGTCTCAATTGTTACACAACCACGCGCTTTCTAATTGCCTCATTACAGATTCGCCAACACCAACCCACACGAGCTATGATTCTGAGACAAAGATTGTCGAACGAATGAAGACGTCTCAGGTCCGCTGCTCGAA